GAGTGGAAGCAGGAAGACGAAGAAGCTGGCTCCTGTTCAGGGCAGAGGGGACAACAGCGGTGGAGGTGAAGAGCAGCAACCACTCAGGGCATATTTGGAGATATCATCAGCTGGAACTGTTGAAGGATTGGATGTGGGGAAGAGAAAAGGGGAGCAATCAGGATAAGTCTAACTAGTCTTGTGATCTGAGCAACCAGGTAGTTGGTAGAGCAATTTTCTGAGATCCATGCATTTGTTCATTCAACAAATACTTAGTAAGGCCCTATTTTGTGCCAAGTACTGTTTTAGACACCAGGAACCACAGCAGTGAAATAACCAGCAAAAACCCCTACTCTAATGGAATTTATATTCTAGGAAGGGGTAGAGAATACAGAAGATTAAGGGAGGAGCAAATAATTTGGGAAGGAAAATAGAGGGAATCAATTACCAGGTGCTAATTCTGCCTCCTAAATATTTCCTGCACTCGTTCAAGTTGAAATGGATGGCAGATGCATTTAAGCCACATTCAGGGTGTTACATGAATTAAACGAGGCCATTAGACTGAGGTACCTTTAATGAGGTGGCTCCTATATAAACAACCCAAAATCTAAGCCTATAAATGAATCAAGGTTATTTAATAGAAACCTAAAGACAATCAGTCACAGACAGCTGGTAGGCTGTAAGCGACAGCCAATCAATAATTTTCCTACTTTGCTTCCACCTTCCTCCACGAAAATCTCTCCCCGAGCTGCTGTCGGTGGAGTGCTCCTTACCACCTGTGGCTTGGGGCTGGCCAATTCAAAACAATAAATGCTCAAAGAAACTCTTAAAATTCTTAATATGCCTCAGCTTATCTTTTAACAAGGAGTAGACTTTACAGACATCGGTGAGAGAAAGTCTTTGCAATGAGCAGAGCTGCAAACAATACATCTGGTCACCCACTTTGTACAGAAGAGGAAGCCCGAGAAGTGAGAATGCATAAAGATTCCTCCTGGACACTGGTCAAAGGGCTGGCCTTCAATCACCAGGGGTCTGGAAAATGAGACTGGAAGGCTAGAGGTAAAAATATCTGGAGTAAAGACATGCAGATGGACATACAGACATTTCATGAGGAGTAAATGCTTTCTATCACACATTTACACGGACCAGAAAACATCTACTATGGCAGAGAGACTGAACAACCAACTAACAAAATGACCCTGCCAACTAACATTATCTAGCCTTTGTCATTGGCCACCCCAGAACTGCATAAATGACGTACTGACAGTGGCAGAAACGGAGACTACCTATGGGCCCAAGGATGTGGATCCCCACTAACCAAGGTGGATCTAGCTACAGCTGCCTCCCTTTACTCAGTACAATCTAGCTACTATTGCCTCTGAATCTAGTCCAATATAGCTCAAAAAGAATTACTGGTGGTATATCCTCATAGGTATAGATACCTGTATCAGGTGTGGGTTTGCCTTTCCTGTTCACATAGCCACTCTCTGCAGGTTTATGGAATATTTAACCTGCAGGCATGGAATCCATTACAACAGAGCACTGGGTATTGGCTCTAAAGTTTGGGAGGCACCAGGGTGACGTCTGACACTGGCCCCAGTACACAGAGGGCAAGGAGAAACCTGAGAAGGAGGTAGACCACTCTAGATTGGTAGGTGGAAGTTTTAACAAGCAAGGGAACTTACATATGAGATTTGACTCCACTGGCTGCAAGATGAATAAATCTCTGCACCTGCTTTCCCGAATCTTAAAAGTTTATATAGAGGCCTCAACAGGGTTCAGTCTTGGATTCAGTCCAGATGGTCTCAACAACACTGTACTCTCTCCAGTCTGCACCTTTGAAAATGGCTCCCACTGTGGGAACAGTAAGCAAAGTCTACATTCCAAGGAGGAGGGAGGGGGTGAGGAGCCACCAATTGCCCGGATGGAGCTATCTGGTCAATTGACAGTCAACGTCCTTGGGAGCTTACAATGTTACAAGCCCCCTCTTTCCCACTGTGCCCTAAGTGGTCAAGAAGGGGTTTCATTAACATCGTCGTGACTCATTTGGAGGCTATATGGATGCACTAGGGGCAGATATCACAGCAACGATACAGATACTTGCAAGAGAAAACTCAGATAACTATTTGCAAAATAAGCAGCAACCTTCTCCACCAAAGGCCCCATGATGGAATCTACTGATCTATTAAGTCCTCTAGGCTGGGAGTCAGCTCCCTCAGGGCCTTCACTTGCGTCCTCAAGTGGTTTAATAAAGATGACCATGAAAAATGCACAGCTCAGGTCTCCCGCTGTGCCCAGGCAGCTCCCAGCCAGTGACCAAGCACAGTAGGGCTACTAATGAGGCTCATTCCTGAGAGCTGTGAAATTCCCTTAATGAGAAATTTTAAATCAAGAACTCCCCAGGAGCCTAGCAAAAACTTTCTTAAAATGACACTTCAGTCTGACGCCCTTCTCCCCAACCCTGTCTCTTTCCTGTCACTCCCTCCTTACAAGTATCAGATTCTTATTCCGGGCTGAAGGCACCCTCTGCCTTCTCCCACTCTTTATCCTCTACAGGCCTTTCCACCAACAAATTTCTTGCACAGAGAATACTTTTTGATGCCCTCTTCTCAGAGGACCTGAATTCATGTAAAAGCTAACTCATTACTTTTATTAACTTAAATTTTCTCTTTTTTTCCTTAACTGTAAGCCTGTAACAGGGCAGCCTGGGGTCTTGCTGCCTGACATGGTGTATTAGCATAACATGAAGATGTGTGGGGAAGGAAAGAGGTTTTTATTAACAGGGTTCCCAATTCGAGGGGGCTGGGAGCATCCTTGCTCCAAGCCTTCCTCTTCTGCAAAGCGCAGAAATTCCCTTGTTCCCAGAAAGACTGAAATCCAATCCTAATCCATGCCCAGAGTTCCTTATCATTCCTTATCTGTCCTTTTGGAGCCGGAGATTCCTGCACAAACCGGTCTCCATCTTTCAGGCCTCTCTTTCTGGGGTGTGCACATGTGGGTTGGAGCGCCACCATCACCTCATAGCAGCTTTCTCTCCTTCCTGGGGTCTGGGATCCCCTGCCAGATCACTGCAGCTGGTCGTGCAAGGGCTCAGTCCCCTGGGTCCTGGAGCACTAGGCTGCTCTTGTCCCCACAGCTGGTGCTGTTCCTGGCCCATGTCTCCACATGCTGCTCTCAGGGTGACAGAATGGAAGAAGTCCAGGTCTCGTGCATTGTGCTGCATGGGGTCGCTGTAACCCAAGAGCTGGTGCCCAGCAAGGCGCGTCCCAGAGTGGGACTCCGCCTCTGTGAGCTGGCTCCTGAGTGTGCAAGGACTAAGCCCCAAGCACTCCCTTGCCCTACTCCAGGTGGGGTGAGGTCAAAGCCAAAAGAACTAGAGGGCGAGCTTCTGTATGCATTCCATTTTTAAAGCCAGCATCCCAAACTCCCAGCACCGAGGAAGTGTCTGGCCTTTCAATCAATGTGGGCCGATGTCAGCCCCGTTTGTCTTTGCCTCTCTTTCTGGCCGCCATGCTCCACAAGGGGGCAAGGTCTCCAGCAACACGTAGGAGCACTATGTCTCACCCCAGTGCGGGGTGTTGCGCCATGCTGCGGCTTGCTGGCCACCACCATACACGTGTGTTGTGACCTTTTTGGTCCCAGACAGCCTCAGAACAAACTTCCTCCCACTGGAACAAGAGTTGCTTGCCTGCTAGGACCAAATACTGGCTGTTTACTGTTGCCTTGGACAGGAGCCTCTGCCCACAGCCCCTCCCCTCTCTGGGAAATCACAGGCTCTGGCAGGTTGCAGCTTTAATCTGCAGCCCTTGGCAATTTCTGGCTCACCCCCTCAGGGGTCCCTCTGGGGAAGTGCAAGTTCTTCCACTAATTCGGAGATCCCCTTCCCTACTCCCCAGCAATCTGGCCTAACCACCCCGTTACAACCCCATCCTGGGGGGATAGTTGGGTCCAAAATACCATACACTCTTAGCTCTAGTCCCTAGGAAATCATTCTCATATTTCTAGCAGTTCTTTTAGTATTCTCAATTACATGTGTATATATAGATATATACATATACAATACACATATACACACATGTCCATATAAACATTACACCATATAGATAGTGTAGGGCAAAAGTAGGCTTACAGTTGTGAGTATAAAGAAGTTTATTCTTGTATTATTTATTATAGTATTTTCCATATGAACAACTGTAAACCTACTTTTGCTGCACCCTGTGTAATTGTACCCTTATATATTTGTGATTTTTTTTTTTAGGATTCTTTTTGCTTTAGAAGCTATCACAGTCCAAATAAATTTTTTAAACTCTTGTCTTCTGTTCAAAGGCAATACATATTTAAAAATAATAGTGAAAGGGAACTATTATAAAATAAACAGTACAGATTGGGGGAAAGTAAAAATCAGAATACCTATACTGATAAAAGAATCTTTTAAAATCATTGATAAAAAGGAAATGAATTACTGATACACTCAATGAAATGATTAAGTCTCAAAACCACTGAGTGAAAGAAACCAGACATCAATGAGTGTGTTCCCTGTGACCCCATTTACATAAAGTCCCAGAAGCAGCAAACCTTACCTATAGGGAACGAGAGCTCTTCAGTGACTGCCTGGCACCCGGGAGGCTGACAAAACAGAGGGCACGGGAAATTTCGGCGGTGATGAAAATGGTCTGTGTTTTGATTGAGGTAATAGTTACACAAGTGTGTGTACACCTTTTGCAAAACTAATTTAACTCTACACTTAAAATGGGTGCATTTTGTTGAATGTAAATGCTACTGGAGTAAAGCTGATTTTAAAAACCACACTATTTTCAACTGCAGAAGAATCTTGGGTCAAAATATCCTGTATTATTGAGGCTACCATCGTTTCTTACCTGGATTTTCCAATACCCTTCTGACTGGATCCCATTATAGGAACCAAACTTCCCTCCAATCTGTTCTTCACTCTGCAGCTGGGATGATGGTTCTAAAACAACATGTGATCATTACTCCCAGTAACTCTCATTCTTCTTCACATGTATCAGTCAGTCAGGGTTTAATTAAAGAAACAGAACCACTAAGGTTGATATAAATATAAAGAGATAGTTATTATAGGAATTTGACCTCACACAATAAGAATTTGTTGAACAGTCACTGCAGGGCTGTTATATCAACCTATTATTTTCTTCTTTTTTTTTCACTAATATCTTCAGTATTCTTAATTAACTGAATTTGAAACTATAGAGGAAAATCAACAAAATACTCAGCATACCCAGGAGTTTCAAAAGATTGCATTTGCCTAGTAGGTGAACATTTAGTGAATTGGGCAATTACTTAAACCCATGATTTTCTGATGCTGCAGTTAGTTTGAACCCACAGGGCACGCAGCTGGGAAGACGGATGCAATGTTCCACTGACAAACTGAAAGCTGTCAGTTCTTGCTGCTTCGGATCTTGGCAGTACTGGGGGAGAAGCTAGGGCCCTTCATTATCATGGAGCTAAACACACACGTGGCCCAGGAGTCACGGAAACTGAGGGTCGGGGAAGGTGAAGCAGCTGCAGGCTCAGCCACTGCCCCACTTCAAGGTGTGCCAGCGAAGCCACAACCCCTGTGAACTACAAAATGGCTGGAGCGTCACTTCCACTTTCAAAATCTCTCACAGGACTCTCTTACAATCAGTCCTAACCAAAAATAAATAAATAAATAAAGTGAAAAGAATTCTGGGAAATGTAGTTCAGCCTGTTCAAGATGGCACAGTACAAAACCATCATAACACTACAAACCTTCCCATTGCTCTTACAGCCTTAAGAAAACATGTAAGGTTCTTTGTGACCTGACTTCCACCAGATTTTCTGGCTCTGTCTCCTACTGCCGCCATGTCAGGCTATATGCATTTATATTTAATATAAATGTTCTAAGTTTTCTAACTTTTCCACACTACATTTCTCCTGGCCAGAATATCTCTCCCTTCCTTGACTCTCTTCCCCTTTAACCTGGCTGAGACCTATTCACCCTTGTGGCCTCAGCTTCTTTTAGGAAACTTCCCCTGACAGATCACATTATCGTTGGAGACCAGGACAAAACCAGATTCAGGGTTAGTACCCAACAAATTTCAGTTGAACAAATCAACATGTGCCAAATGAGAATTAAACCTGATTGTTGAATGAACATGGCTGAAGTCCTAGATGTAAAAGGACTAAGTGTTGTGGTCAAGGTCAGTGGACAGGCAATATATTCAGCCTCTTAAAACGTGGGACACTCTATTCACTTCTGCAGGAATACACATTCCATTTAACCACTTATTCACTCTATCCCTTTGATATATAAACACCTATTGCACCACGAAGTCCCTTAGTCTGAGTTCTCCAGAGAGCAGACCCTAAGACAAGGTGACTGGACTGAAATGTGAATCCTGGAAGCACAATTTAAAATCAAGGAGTGGGGACAGGGAAGGAAATAAAGCCAGTTTAAGGTGGGTATTGTTGAGCTGGTTAATACTGTGAATACTAAAGTTTTATTTCACTGAAAACCCTTTGAGAAATTGCATAGAATCTTAGATACCCCTCAGAATGAGGCTGAGACACATATTCACCAACTCCCATCCCTCAGAAGTTGCCTCTAGGGAACTTGTACCCTTTCCCATCCCAACACTTCCATTCAATGGAGATCAATGGGATGCACTGGCTTTAGAAAAAGCCTAAAGGTGGAGAAGGAGAAGTACTACCGCACTCATGGTGAAATGTTGGAGGCAAACACAAGAATTATCATAGCTGCAGTAAGGTTAGAGGTGGGTCAAGGTGATGTGGCTTGGATCACCAAGTTCTAATTCACTTCCTAACGACCCTTATCTCTGTTAATCACTAGGTACTGCCATCAGTACAGAAAGACTAAGAAATGCCAAACTAATTTTACTTCCTTCTTTCAGAGAACTGATGGTTTGGGAATTTAGGAAAATTTCACTAATATACTCAATCTTAGCATAGATAATATGAAGAGAGCTGGATAACTAAGGGGTAAATAACACATTTTTCGGACTATAAGATGCACTATCCCCTCCCCCCAGTTTGGGAGGAATAATGGTTGTTAATGCTGCTGTTGAGTTCTGTTCACATTTACACTGGTGAAATATTGTTATTAAATATTTTACCACATTTTTTGCTTCAAATTTTTTTTCCTGTTTCCTTCCTCTAAAACCTAGGTGTGTCTTATGATTCATAAAATACGGCAGATCATTGCTGGCTGACTGCTTTACTCGAAGAATGTGGATCAATGATACAAACTTCGTTATAGTTGTATTCTTCTCCTAGGTATTGTATGGAATGGTATGCCTGGAGTTGTACCATGCACAAAGAGGCTACTCAGCAAATGTTTAAGAGACGAGAGCAGGTGAAATGTCTTAAAGAGTGTTTGATCTAGAATGTCAGAAGAACACAGATCAGTGCTTTTCACATGGAGGTTGTTTTGTACCCCAGAAAACGTCTGGCAATGTCCAGAGACATTTTGGGTTGTCACAACCGAGGAAGGGGTTGCTATTGCAATCCAGTGCATAGAGAGTATCCTACAATGTAGAGGACAACCCTCATTTCCCCAGCAAAGAATTATATCAGCAGTGCCAAGACTGAGAAACCCTGACACAGATAAAGGGTATCTGGGTGATGACATTGTAAGTATATGCATTTACATAAACATAGTATTTCTCCACTTCATATAGTTTGTATATAACATTAAAAATCATTGCTTAATTACAAATGATTTGTCTTACATGCCAGCAATACACAGTGTTGCATTAGTACCACCAAAACCAAAGGAATTGCTGAGTCCAATACGTCTTTTCTCAGTTTTCCATTCCTGTGCCTTTAGTGGAATGTAATTGAGATCAAATCCCGCATCTGTACAGTCCAGGTTTAAAGTAGGTGGCAGTTTTCCATAATAACAAGCCAGGGCAGTAAACGCTGCCTCAACTGCCCCTGCCGCTCCCAGCAGATGTCCTGTGGCTCCCTTGGTTGAGGAAATGGCAAGGGCATGGGCATGGTCTTTGAAAATGTGTTTGATGGCTTTGTTTTCAGCAGCATCTCCTAACGGTGTGGAGGTAGCATGCGCGTTGACATACGATATCTCTTCGGGCTGTATATTTGCATCCTTTATAGCAGCTGCCATACATCTATTAAAATAACAAAAGACATTTATCAGAACTAAGTTTAATTTTAACACAGAATTCATTATCTGTATGGTTGATGTGAAAGAAATATCCAAGGACACTGGGTGAAAATAATCCCGTCTAATAACAGAAACCCATCTTGGATTACCATGTGAGCTGGAATGCCATCTGCTTGGGAATAATGACTCACCCCCAGCACCTTGGACAAATTCATCACCAAGAGACAAACACAGAAGCCTACGGATTTTATAATCTCTAAAAACATATATTTCAATTTATCTGAAATGACTTTTTCCTTTGGGGGAAAAACACACATTGATTCAAGCCTGGAAGAACTTTTCTTCCAGGAATTTTTATCAGTGGAATGTGCGTGCCCGTGGGCATGCATGGATGTGTGTGTGAAGATTTAAAATGTGGAGAAAAATTTTATAACCATGTTTTAATTTTTTCTCTCACATTTAAATGTAAAACTTGGCATATGTCCCAATAATCTAAAAATGTCTGCACCATTACACTTCAGTGCTTCAAATAACCTTTCAAAATCCTCTTTATTCAGGCTATAAGAATTTGAAATAAAGTTCAAAGCCAAGCCAAAAACAAACAAATCCAAAAATAAAACATTTCCCTGGAAAAACCATTGAAAAAATCTCATGTATGTCAACACCTTCTTTTTTAGTTCCAATCTCTGGGCTGGACATATTTCATTAAGAGGCAGCTTAGAATATAATATAAACTGTGCTCAAAAGTTTCTTCTAAACATAACTATTTCTTCAACTAACTGGCTACTTCACATCTCTAGCAATAGTAACAACTCAAACTCAAATACCACTTCACACCAGTCAGAATAGCCATCATAAACAAAGTAACAAACAACAAGTGTTGGAGAGGTTGTAGAGAAAAGGGGACCCTAGTGCACTGTTGGTGGGACTGTAGACTGGTACAACCACTATGGAAAGCAGTATGGAACTTCCTCAGAAAACTAAAAATGGATCTGCCTTTTGACCCTGTGATTCCACTGCTGGGACTATATCCTAAGAACACTCCAATGAAACACCAATCCAAAAGAACCCATGCACCCCAATGTTCATAGCAGCACAATTTACAATAGCTAGGTGCTGGAAGCAACCTCGATGCCCATCAGTAAATGAGTGGATCAAAAAACTATGGTACATTTACACAATGGAATTCTATGCAGCAGAAAGAAAGAAGGAGCTCCTACCCTTTGCAACAGCATGGATGGAGCTGGAAAGCATTATGCTAAGCGAAACAAGCCAGGCAGGGAAAGACAAATACCACATGATATCACCTTTAACAGGAACCTAAACAACAAAACAAAGAAACAAGCAAAATATAACCAAAGACACTGAAATAGGGGACAGACTGACAGTGACCAGAGGGGAGAGAAGAGGGAATTTCAGGGGGGAATGTGTAGGGTTTACAGGAACAAATTTGGAGGACACATGGACAAAAAACTAGGGGTGGGGGGGGTAATGGGGGGGGAAGAGGGGAGGGTTGGGTGGGTGGGCTGGAATGGGAGTAAGTGGGAGAAAACTGTACTTGAACAATGATTAAAATAAAATAAAAAAACAACTCAAACTCAAAAGTATAATTCAGGGATCAGTAAACTATGGCCCTGGTCAGATGCCTGTTGTTGAAAAAATTGTTTCACTGGAAAACACCCATTCACTTATGTACTATCTATGGAAGATTTCACACTAGAAGGCAGAGTTGGGTAGTTGTGACAGGTATCTTATGGCCCAAAGGCCGAAAATATTTATTATTTGTCCTTTTACAGAAAGGTCTGCCAACCCTTGGCTAATTTAACTGGTTACAATACGATATGATCTAAGCAGGTTAATCTATCAGCTAACACATTAACAGAGACTTTTTTTTTAACTTAACTCACTATCTCTTCTACAACAGCAACTAGCAACTTGCTTTGAAAAGTGTGGTCCTCAGACCAGCAACTTTAGCATCACCTGGGAACTTGTCAGAAAAACAGAAGCTCAACCACCACTCTAGGCCTACAGAGTCAGACTTTGCATTTTAGTAATATCCCTGGGTGCTTAAAGGCTTGGAATTGCCAACATAAAAACAGCAGAACCCTGTTGAAATGGAGCACAGACCAGACACATCTAGAGGGAAGGGCTGACTTTTACAGTCCAAGCCTGATGAAGGGCCAAGTGGCGGGGTGTGGGGTGCAGCAGCCTGATAAGTTGTTAAGCACGACTGGAAGTATGAAAAGTTCGCAAAGGCACACGTGGCCTTCTTCACAACTTTTGGCCTTAGCTAAAATCCAGCTTTTGTATGGATTTTCAAATGCTTTCAAATACTTAAAACATGTTAATGCAAAGAACTCAAAAACACTTCGTTTAGTCTAAAATGGAACAACAACAGAGATACTCGACACGAAGACCAGATGATAGTACAAGTTCCCCTGATTTGACACTCCAGTAAAATGTCTTATTTGAATAAACACTTTGAATGAAAAGAAAAAACAAGACTTTACCTTAAGGCACCTTCTCCTTCAGGGTCAGGGGCGGTTATGTGACCAGCATCACCTGACAGTCCATAGCCCAAAACTTCTGCGTAGATCCGCGCTCCTCGTTGAATAGCATGTTCGTGCTCTTCCAGCACCAGAACAGCTGCACCTTCTCCCATTACAAAACCATCTCTCTTTGGGTGAAATGGTCGACATGCCACCTTAGGATCAGAGTTTGTGCTCAGAGCACGGGCTCTGGAAAACCCAGCGAGAGATAAAGGGCTAATGCAAGAATCTGTACCTCCAGCCACCATCACGTCAGCATCGCCATGGGCAATAAATCTAAAAGAGTCTCCCACAGCATGAGCTCCTGTGGTACAGGCTGTAGATACTGCATGATTGGGGCCCCTGAGTTTATATCGAATGCTGACCTGGCCTGCTGCCATATTGACCAGAATCTTGGGAACGAAGAATGGGCTGACTTTATTGTAACCTTTTGTCTGAAACATCAAAGCAGTTTCAGAAACAACTTCCAGAGGAATCATTCCCATGCCAATTGCAACACCAGTACTCACTTGGTCAGCTTCTGACTGAGGATTCCAGCCAGAATCTTTCATAGCTAACTCTGCAGCCCCAATGGCCATAATGGTAGGCGAAGACATGGTCTTGATATCTGATTTGGACACAAAGTTTTGTTCATTGAACTGACCTTCATCACAACCTCTTGGCACATAAGCAGCAACACTGCAAGGGATACTCTTATATTCTTCGCCAACCAGTGAAACAATTCCACTCTCTCCTCGGATCAGACGATCCCATACCAGTTGAATTCCAACACCAAGAGGGGTCACTAAGCCAATGCCTGTAATGACAACCCGCCTGTGCAATCTGGATGCTGGCACCAATCCGAAAAACCTCCTTTTATTTCTTATTAATCGGTGGCATAATCCTGAATATAGAAGATGAGGGTTTGTAATTTTTAGCACATTCTGCAAGCAGTTTGAAAACATGGTTGAGATTCAGATGATCAGAAACACACTCCAATAACAGACCACCAACGCCCAGGAAGTAGTGTTGTTTAAATAGCTTAAAGGTGTAAGAAACAATATCCGAGGTGATGTTTCAGGTGCTTGATGTGAGCTGTTAATGAGCACAGGGAAAAAAATGTTACATCACAGGTGGCAAACACAAGGCCCGGGAGTCCGAATTTGGCCCTCCACCTTGTTTTATCCGGCCCAGCACCTTGTTTCTAAATGTCGGCAGCACAGAGCTCTTGTTTAATTATTAAGGAATAGTTACATTTATACAGTCCTAAAATTACATTCAGCCCTTTGAAGGCAACTGAGGCTGGTGCGGCCGCTGGTGAAAATGACTTTGACACCTCTGTTATAACATTTTAATTTGTATGTATCATCATCAGACCACCTGTTTGGACTTAACTCTCTTTTAAGACTGTACATACCCTCAAACATTCCAAGAAAGAGGTGAAATGAGGATTCAATCGATTCACCAAAGAGGAATCACACCATGAAAAATATAAAGGCACTACAAGCCTGACAGGGACTGCAGGAAGCATCCTTTTCTAGGTTTACCGAGGCCTTATTCTAAATGGCATTTCTAGTGTGAGTGGCACTACACGTACTTCAGGGCCTATTCTTTGAAGTGGGAGTATGTAGACTTCATTGATCTTCAAAACATGGAGATAAAAAGGGTTTCCAGATCTAGACGACCGAGGGCGGGAGTAAAGGGGTGTGGCCAAAGCCCCGCACCTCCTCTCAAGCACGATCACGATCACACACACCCGAAGAAAGCAGCCAGATCCCAGGTCATTAGACTCCCCTTTCCCCACCTAATCCCAACCTGATTTGGCGGTGGAAGGGAGGAATAAGACTAACCAGCAGCCAAAATACCTTCACTAGAACTCTGATCACTGGTGCAGCCGCCGTCCTCGGCGACAAAGCTTGAGTGCGCAAGCGCACACGCACGTCCGCACATGCGCCTGTACAAGCACGCCTTACGACCGAGATCGCTTCTGCCCGGTGTCCTTGCCCCGCGTCACCCTGCGGAGATCCGACAGTGGGAGGAGCCGGCGTCCGGGAGAGCTGGCCGAATCGTCTCTCTCCCAACCTAACGGATTCGAAATTAATCTAGAACTCGCGGGTTAAGAGGGCATCACAAGGGGAATTTGTTTTGTGAAATAATAATGCCTACATATCACCTTGTTGTGGGAGAAGGAACACCATCATATTCTACTGGAATCCTAGGAATTTAAGCCTTAAAGTTATGAATGTACCTCCCAGAATTATTATAGTGAATTAACCAAAATATCTAACACCAAGAAAATGGTTGTGCATTCTGTGGGTACGTGTAAATGCTGTGAAGCTGTTTAAAATAATGAATACTAATGAATACTAATAATGAATACTAATATGTAAAGATGTTGAAACTGTTAGGAGAAATAAGTTACCCCCAAAACGTGCATATTTTTTATATTTTTTCTTAAAAGTCTGCAAGGATGTACAATGATCGTGATATTATCCTCTATTTTTTGTTCAGCACTAGTCACTACATTTTTTACAATGAATAATGCTTTCGCAATAATAGTTATTTTCACTTTTTAAAAATTGTCGCTGAATCCGGAGCAGTGCTCAAAATACCACACCCAATGTCTGACAAAAATAGAGACAACAGAAGAGTAGAGAAGTTTATTTCTAGGGGTCTGAAAATTTAATATCTTTATTTGCCCAGAGCTGGCTATGAATCTGTGAATGGAAAATATATGAAAATACTTTAAGAGGCAAGAATCAGCAAGGTGGCATTTAGATAACCATCTGGATTGCTCTTATGTCCTCACAGGTGTGAGTTTTGTATCCTGTTTTTTTTTAAACGATTGATTATATAATCTTCATCTGAATGTCCAACCATTTTGCTTTCTTCTGGGCAATGTCTCTTGAAGTGATTTCTTCTGCCTAGAGTGCTCAGCCTTCTTTCCCAGCTCCAGAGAAGAATACAGGTCAAGTTTAGCTTTTCCTGGTTAGCACTGGATTTAAATGAGTTTCATAATATATTTTATCTAAAATAGTTGAGTGAAGCCCAGTATGACCTTAAGTCACTCTTGATCCATGACCCATTCAATCACTTCTCAGCATGACCATCATTCAATGACAATAGTTACTTTAAGATAAATGCATGTAGTTATAAAATAACTTAAGACTTGATGATAAGTACCCAAACTTGCTCTTTTCCTTATATTTTAAAATCATAGTGTGAAAAGACCTACAACATTTTCTTTAAAGATGAAGTCATATGAAATGTACAGTTTTAATGTGCTGTTTTATTTTTCTTTTGTAATATTACAGAATTATTTTGGATAAAAAGTGAAAAATCAATTACAATTTGTCAAAAAGTTAAACCACACACCAAAAAATAAAAGTCAAACTACAAAAAGTCGTTTCATCTTTAATTCTACCTCTCATCTTTCATTTGGAAAGGGGTGGGAAATTTTATATTTTAATAGCTGTATATATGATAGCTATATATGATTAAGTACCATATTCTTTGCTATATAACACCACTGTGTTTTCCTCTGTCAAAATCTTCAAAAGTGCTACACTTACCATAGTCTCCTGCTCAGACTATTTGTAATCTAATTCCAAACTATCTTCTCAGCCACAGCTCCCACTCTCTATTAAATGGAGTTTAATAGAGAACACACCCAGCAAAACTGATTTTCTTTCTACCTTTGGGTTGACTTTAGCTTTTTCTGTTTTCATCTTTGTATTTTTTATTGTACTTTCTTATCTTCAACATTCATTTTCCTCCTGCCTTATGCTAGAAGCTGGCATACAAAAATGAGTAGGACATGTTATTGCTTTCAAGAAGTTTATAGTCTAATAGAGGGAGACAGCCATGGAAGCATGTGTGCAAACTACTGCAACAGGTGCTATCATGGAAGAATGTAATAGAATTATAACAAGACAGAGGATGAGTAAATCAGTGCTGCCTTTCAAATTCAGAAAAGGCTTAAAAAAAACTGATCCTTGAGCTGCATCTTGAAAATGAGTTAATGGTTGCCTAGTAAATTGGGTGGGAAAGAACATTCTGACAGGTGGAGTAGAACGAAGGTCTGGAGACATGGTGGTCTGCCATAAACTACTAGTAGTTCAATATGGCCAATGTTAGATTTGAATGTTAGATTATGGGAGAAAGCAACAGTAAAAGTATGAGAGTAAAGCAGGGACAATCACAAAAAATCTTGGGTGTCATGTTGAAGATTTTTGGATTACAGCCTGTAGGTCACAAATGACAGACTGGCAGTCCTGGTCTAATTTGGACTGCAATCTTTTATTGAATCTGGATTCCTCTAGGAAAGATATGGTCAACTATTTCTTCCCTTCACCAGGGTCTCCTCTACTCCTTTTTGTGTTGAACAAAGCCACTTCGTACATTGAAGTTACTTGCCTGGTTCCTGACACCATTTGACCTTAGAGTGCCATAGGTAACATTTTAACAGAAGGACAACCTGACCAAATGTGGGTTAGAAAGATCACTGTTGCAACAGTGAGCAAGGTAGATCTGAGGGATGTGGAGATGCACATGGGAATCGACTTAAGACTAAACAACAGGTGATGAGGACTTGAAGTAAGGAAATGGCACAGAAGAGAGGTATGGGAGATGCTGAAGAGAAAACACTGCTAGGGTGCTGTCCCAATTAAGTGTTGGAGGTTCTCCCACAGCTAGGAAATCCTCTCCTTCCTCATCTCCTTAACCTCCAAACGTAAGGGATACTATTCAAATTCTTCCCCTTCCATGAAACTGTGGTCCACAATGAAATTCCCCTTCCTTTCAGCTAGTTCTCCAACTTTATTGTGCATCAGAATCACTGGAAGGGCTTGTTGCTACACAGATTGGGGGGCCTCATCTTTAAAGATGGGGCTTGAGAATATTTCTGACAAGTTTCCTTGTGCTGTTGGTGCTACTGGTCTAAAAACTGCTGTAAATTTACGACTTCCACAAAGCAGGGACTGGATTATCTCCTTTGCTGCCTCATTGCCTACCACAGTGCTTGGCATTTAGTAACCACTATATAAAAACTTAGTGAGTGAGTGAGTGAATGAATGAATGAACACATGCCCTTATATTGGCTTGTTTAGAGACACTGCTTTGTGCATTTCTTACTAAATGTTTTGCTTTTCAAAATAACTTTTTTCACCAACTAAAGTATGTAAGGTATTATTATTTTTGTCTTTCCTACTAGATTAAAAGTCTCTTTTGTCATCTGTCTCCGACTACTTTGCACAAAACAGGTGCTCAACAAATAATTGTCGGTGAATCACTTAATGAAATCACACAAAGGTGAATCACCATAACAATTCCTGTAAGGCTTCAACTCATCTCTTGCTGATAACCTTTATTGAGTTCAGTATTTTCTACTTTTTGACAAAACCAAACGTAGGGAAAATGTAATAGTTTCTTTTTAAAGATGGTATGCTCTAAAAGCTAGAATCCTGAAAAAAAGACAATGACATTATTTTGGAGCAAAAAAAAATCAAGTAAAAGAATGGAATAGAAGTTCAAAATTGATTTAATATATCCTTCAGTTGTTTGAACAATGGTAGGTATAAAGAGATTAAGGGTAGCTTCATATTTTTAATTTTTGTTCTAAAAGAAACTGAAAAATCAAAATATTTTCAGCCTGACTTAATTGGAAGAAGCAGATGGGGGAAAGAATGAGTCAAAGTCCCTTATAATAAGTTACCTTAATAGCTTCGTAAATGGTGGTGTCGAAGACAAACCATAATTACTCAAGAACTTTAACAAAGTATTGGTAAAGAGTAATTTGGATGAATTTAAATTTCAGGTGACTTAAACAATAAACTACTGAACTACCCTTGAAATGATTTGTGTGATTTTATGAACTGTATGTTATTATCACAGAATTAAGTCTATGACATTGGTTTTCACACTGTGGTTGCATGTTCCCCACAAAAATACCATAAGGCCATTATCTCTGTCAAGGGGATGGCGAAGGGGATGGCACTCAGGTGGGGATGGCCCTCCTACACCTACACACACACACACACACACACACACACACACACAGCTTCGATTCAAGACCACCGCCACTTTTGTGTTTTGTATTCAAGTACTCAAGTACACTGGGTGTCCTCCTATGATTTTATTTTTTTTTTTTTGAAGTGTTGCGTTTTTAAAAAAATCACAAAAACTATATAGTATTTAAAAATGTGCACAATTATTATAAGGATAAATAATGGGAATGTGTTAATAGGAAAAAAGAACAATTAAGAGGAATGTAATTTGTGGTAAAAACAGCTATTTTTAACCCCAGACACCAACCTTTCATCTTTTTATAGAGTGGTGGGTGGTACCTGTCCGGCCAGGGAGGGACTACATTTCCCAGCCTGCTCTCCTTTACCTAGCTGGGGTTTCATTTTTGCCCACAACACCTAGAGAAAATGCAGTACTTCATTTCTAGGCCTACGTGGTTAAGCAGGTAGGCCTTCTTTTTGCCCAACTGTTAACTAGTACAGAAGTCACTATAAATCTCTCTATGGCAGAACTTAGCAAGTTACAGGTCAAATCCAGCAGGCTACCTGTTTTTCTAAATAGTTTCATTGGAACATAGCTGAGTGCATACATTTTAAAATGTTGTCTATGGAACTACAACTGCAGAGACAAAGTTAAATAGTTGAAACAGAGACCCTATAGCCACAAAACCTTAAAGTATTTCACCCTTTACAGAAAATATTTGACCTCTATTCTATGGAGTGGAAGGAACCTGGATCCCTGAACAATTACATGGAGGAAAGCCGCCCTCTGATTAATGACATGTACATTACTAAACTGTTATGTGAGCACGAAAGCTATTTCTCTGTGTCAAGTCACTGAAAATTTTAGTTATAGCAGCTCCCAACGTACTATCAGTTAAACACACTATTCTTGGAAGCTGGTCTAGAAACCTACATATTTAGCCTTGACCTGTGTGACGTGATTGGTGGGGCATCATTCTGCAAAGCAAAGGTCGCTGGGTTGATTCATGGTCAGGGCACACGCCTGGGTTTCAGGTTCAGTCCCCAGTTAAGGAGCAAACAAGAGGCAACCTATCAATGTTTCTCTCTCCCATCGAAGTTTCTCTCCTTTCTCCCTTTCTTCTCCTCTCTCTAAAAATAAATAAAAATTTTAAAAATCCGTACATATTTATTAAAAACTTCTCACAAATAACCAGATGAAGTGTAACTGAAGTAGATGGCATAGCTGAGGGCCTTGCTCACAGACACCAGAAGAAAATTTCAAAGCAAACAAAAGGTAAATAAAAAGAACAGTTAAAGAAGTTACTTAGGTAACTTCTCTTAAAAACATAAGATCAAGACAAATATTTGTTGAGGTTAGGACAGGAATTTCATTGGTAAAGTACATTTTCAAGGGCATGGTAAGGTAGAGAATGGATTATACAGGTTGCTATTCATCATCTAAAAGGAATGACACTGATCACATGATCTACCTGCAAAACAGAGTCACAAAACAACACTTACCCTTACTATCTATATTTTCATTGTCTTTCCTCTCCCCACATTCTATTCTATTTTGTCCTAATGGTGTATGCGTTTAATGCTGGTCACACTACTGGGTAAACCGAGTCCACAAAACACCATTTTGCAACCTGCAGTTTGAAAAACTTCTTTAAATAGCCATCACGCTATTTGAGCTAGGACTTACGCAAGAGATTTTCAGGCATTCATGTAATTCCAGAAATAATTCACATACTAGAAACCCAGCAGCCTTTTACTGCCACTCAGTTGTTTTTGAACGTTTGTTGCTCCTTCCTTCTGGAGTCTTTCTCCACTTCTATCCAGAAAGGCCTGACAATCTTGGAGCACGAATTGTTAAGATTGTTTTATTTGGGGGGAAAGGATCGGGGCATAGGTTTCCTCACCTCTATCGGGGGGGAGAACCCCTCCCCTGGCCCTGACCACCAGGTGCCCGGTCAGTCCTTCAGAGGAAACCCCTAATCCAACAAACTGACCAACAAGAACCCCACCCTTTCCAGTCGAAGCCCCGCGGGCCCTGACAACCAGACCCCCGCCCATCCTAATCAAAACCCTGATCCTCGCCGAACTACGCCCCCGGCCCACCCAGCCGAGGACTCCGCCCTTCGAGAACAGGCACCCGGACTGCTCCGCCCAAGCCCCGCCCCTCCCTACGGCCCACAGCCCCACGTACCCACCTTGCACGCGGTCTAAGCCCCCTCCTGCGCCCACCCCACCCCCTACCAGGCCCTCGCCTACCCCCACGCCGGTCAACCGGTCAAGACCCCCGCCCTTCCCGACCAAGACCCGCCCCTCCCATCAGGTCCACACCACCCGCTCCAGACCAAGTCCCCCGCCCCCTGCGAACAGCCCCCCGCCCCGCCCGGCTCGCCGCAGGGGCGGCCGCCGCGCGCTCAGGCGCCTGCTCAGTGCGGGACGCGGCACACGAGGGGCGGCGACGGCCGCAGGCGCTCAAGCATGGCGGCGGCGGCACTGGGCAGCTCCTCGGACTCCGCGTCCCCGGCGGTGGCCGAGCTGTGCCAGAACACGCCGGAGACCTTTCTGGAAGCCTCCAAGCTGTTGCTCACCTACGCGGACAACATCCTCAGGTGCCGGGGTGCGGGATCCGTGGGGCTGCGGGGCCGGGTGGGGCGCGGTGCCTGCTCGGCCTGGGTTTGGGGGCGCCCGGCCGGGGCCCCGGAGGGCGGAGACTCCAGGGGGGCTAGGGACCCGGCTGTGACTCAGCGCCGCAGCCCGCGGGTCAGGGGCCTGGAGATTCGCCCAGGCCCCACCCCCGCCCAAGAAAGAGGAAGTTTCTCTGCACTTGTGACTTGGCACCTGACTGATGTCGGGGTGCTCCGGCCGGACTGGAGGGCTCAGGGGGACGGCAGGGCGAGGGAGGTGGGAAGGCGTGCCCCCACGCCTACCTCTGATCCGCGTGTTTAATAGTTTTACGCGACAGGACGGAAACGGTAAACAGCCTTTCATTCCCACTGCCTGGATTTTTCCCCGAGCTGGGTGGGGGAGCCTTACATTTCATAGGCTTATCAGAAGTTAGTCACTGACAGAATGTTTTCTTCTTAACATTTTGTGAGTGTCCTAATATTAAGCATAATACTGAAATGGTGGGGTTTTTTTTTACCTTTTAATGGCATTTTTTGGTGATTGAAACCTTATTAACCGTATTACTTTAAAGTTACAATTTTCACGTTAATATCTGGATTTCACTTTCAGAATGACTCAATAGGAATTTGTGAAAATAATTTCTTTGGGTAGGAGTAGTTTGTTTCATTGTCCTGTGAGCAAAAGTACAGCTCTAGTTCTCTAAGGGACCTGACAGATTTGGAGAATTGGGAGGCAAGTGTGATTATTCATTTTGAATCATCACCGCTTCAACTCTTAGATCAAATGATGTGGTGTCTTCAGGAGGGAACATATGTGTTGGGAAGGGAATGAAACTGAGGTTAAAGGAGCTCCAGGTGCCAGGTGCTTTAGCGTGTCGCCTCAGTTACCAGCTCAGCGTGATTATCTAGATTCTCTGTACTCCCTCAGCCCCGGATGCACTTGATCTTCTGAGTGGTGGGTATACTGGTGTGAAGTCTGAAAGGAAATCCCTCTCAGTTTCTGGTTATAGATTTCATGTGACCCAGTTTTAGAGACAGTAGTTACAAGTGCAGGATTTTAACCACGGCAGTCAGTCATAACAGTGTTCATATAGGTAACATTCATGATTTAAAAGTAAATTGAAGGAAAAACATAGTGAGCCCTTATTATGTGCCAGATGTTACAAGGGGCGCAGCAGCTGTGACCTATGTGGGGACCGCTTCCTCCTTTGTGATCCCTTCTCAACTCATCTTGACCCTAAGTGGTGTAACAGCTAGCTCTTCTGTGCGGGAGGACGCCAGTGGACGGTGGATGAATGAACTCACAGGCTGAGTTCTCCAGAGCCCTATCAGCTGGGACCGCCCACTTGGAAAGCCACCAAGCTATTTAAACCCCACTGTTCAGAAAAGGGAGGTGGCTTTGTTATGACGATTTACTTCTGCTTTTAGTGAAACCAAAAAATTCTAAGATCAGTGTGTGTTTCAGGAAGGAAATCCTTTTCATGCAGGTTATATCTTGGCATCATAATCATCATTATGAATACTTACCAAACTCATAAAAGAAACTTGTCATGCTGCCAGCTTTAGCTGGCTTGTGTTTCTGATCCTAAAAAGTGTTTTATCTAAAAAGGGAATTAGGAGTTTGGGACTCATATAACTGGAGATGGTAGAAAAACTACCTTTTGTAGTTTGTCTTGAGTAATAGTATTAGTTCCTGATCTCTTATTCTTAGAATTTAAACTCCTTCGGGTGTGGGGGGGCAACCTCATTCAAGTTGCTTTCCTCATTCAAGTCCAGTGACTTGCTAACTTCTTAACAGAAAAACTTCAAATTTCTTTTTATTTCTAGCCACACTACATTACGGATCTGCTAATCTAACTTATTTGAGAGTTGAGAACACTAAGGTTTTCTGTTACTTTTGCTGTTTGGGGAAATCTTTTAGTGTTAGAGATATCCCTAATGCTAATAATGTCTTGATATCTCTTGTTTCTGTGTTAGGGTATGACATAGTATTTCATAGAATGAGAGCTAAAATGAGACTTTCCATTAGCAGTTGTGTGGGGTTTTTTTAAACAATGATACTTGTCATTATACACAAGTGAAAGTAATACTTAAGGTTGTTTTAAATTTCTGTTTTGTATGATATTTAACCTATTCCCCAACTAAGTCATAAAGCTAGTGAAATTTCAGAATAAAATATATGCTAATTTGCATGCACAGTAGGCAGTAGATTTGAAACTTTTGCCCTTTTTTTTCAGTCCACTGACTTCTAGATAAAAAATGTTTGTTCTTTTCAAAAATTTTTATTTTTGCACTATTTTCCTTTGCAAATTTCATGTAGTTGTTGTTTATGAACAGAACTATGTATGATTGGGAAGACCCAAGAACGGAAAGTGGTTTTTGCCTTCAAAGAAAACAAATGTGGCCCTGCTTGGTGTGACTCAGTGGTTAGGTGTCATCCACATATCAAAAGGTCATAGGTTCAATTCCTGGTTTGGGTTGTGGGTTGGGTCCCCAACTGGGGCACTTACAGAAGACAACCAATTGATATTTCTCTCCCTTTCTTTCTCCCTCCCTTCCCCTCTGTCTAAAATAAAAAAAATAAAATAAAATACTTTTTTTAAGAAAGAAAAGAAATATGTCTGGGAGAAAGATAGAGGAATGGAAAATAGCCACAGTGTAAAATCTAAAGAACAATTCCAAGATAATGTTTAACCACTTAACATGTTTATCTGAGCAGATAGCACAGGGACCTAACATGGAAAAGTTTTTTTGTTATGTTTCTTTGTTTTAATTACTCTCACCCAAGGATATTCTTGATGATTTTAGAGAGGGGGGAAGGGAGCAAGAGGAGAGAAACTTCGTTGGGAAAAAGATCAATCAGTTGCCTTTGCATGTACTCTGCGCCCCCTCCCTAACTGGGACTGAACCAGCAACCTAGGCAGGTGCCCTGACTGGGAATTGAACCTGCCACCTTTCTGTTTATGGGATGACGCTCCAACCAACTGAGCCTCAGCCGCCAGGGCCTAACATGGAAGAGTTTTGACAACAGAGGTTTGATGAGATGGGTCTGGTTGATGGAGTAGCAGAGAACATGTACTTGACGTGATAGGCAAGACAAAATGATTATAGTTTCTAGACCGAAAGAAAAGCATATGAAGGAGTTTCATGTAGAATAATGATGTAAAAAGACACAAGGCATGGATTTCATTTGCGAAGCTATTTAAGTAATCATAAACATAAGGGAGGATAGACTGGAGGGAGAAGTGTTGTAGGCAGGGCTTGGCCCTTCCTGAGGACTGAGTGCAGGCAGAGCTGGTAATGGGGGGAGACAACCGAAATAACTTCAGATTTCTAATGTAGGTTATTACTGACACCTGGAGACATTGAGCCAGGGTTAGGGAGTTTGTTGGCATCTTGCATGGTGGAGAATACGTTCAGTAAGCTTTGTAATCAGGCCAGTTGGTTTAAATCCCAGTCAACCATTTCCTAAATGTGTGATTATAGGCAATTTATGTAAACTCTCGGGGCTTCAGTTTCCTCATTTTTAAAAGGAAAGAAAAAGACCTACACTATAGGATTGTTGCCAAAGTTACAAATAAAGGACCTGGCACATATGTTGTCTATTGTTGTTATTGTTCCATTTTTCATGTTAAACCAGCTAGATTACATGAATGTTTCCCTTGTTGTGCGCTCAAAGAATGGTAATAATCAGAGCCAGAGATGGTTCCCAGATGGTTCTAAGGCAGGTAGGTGTTTTTGAAAATTTGTGTGCATCTCAGAATAACAGATTTTTCAGGAGGAGTAGAATTTTTAAAATGACCTACAAAGCAACTTTTGTGATTAGTAATAAAAATACAAGGTTATAGGATGTACTCATGCACTAAATTTCCATTTATGTGAACCCTTTCTGGGATTTTTGCATTCCAAAGAGGAAGAGGACTAGTAAATTATTAGAATATTTACTTTTCAGTGTTTCTGAAACAGAGAGAAACATTTTGGTTTTCCTTTTTTCTGAAATGCTATCACCTCAGTGTGAGATCTATTGTTAACATATCTTAAAATCTTAAAACATAGATTATGACTTTTATAAGGAGAAAAGCACAGCTTTTCCCTACCATTGCAATTGTAAAAACAACGACTTTTTTCCCCACAAGTTAAACAATTTGGTAGATATCAGGAGTGAGACAACTCTGAAGACACCAGAATATGTTCAAAGTTATGGCTGGGTGAGTTATAAGAAATTTTGCTGTCCTTTCATGACCACATTCATTCAACATCATCATCCAACGACACCCACCCAACCCCTCCCCCAAAATCTCATGTGAAGATGCAAGATAGTTGGCTAACAAGCAAGATAAATATTACAACTTGCAGATATAGTTAATGATCGACAAAGATAGAAGGGGAAAAAGACACTGTGAAGAGCAAACAACATCTGAAAAAAATCTGCAGAGGAAGTTAAGTTAATGGCATAAGATCAAGCCAAAGTAAAGGTGATTCTTAGGGATACTTTAGACACCTCAGATTCTGGATAGTAGTAATGAGCTCAAGAATAGTGGACACTCTGGGGCGATGCTATAAAGCTAGAGGTTCTAAAAGTGTTTGCTTGACACTTTTCCAAGAGAGGAAATGGAAACTGAGGAGTCGAGGTCTGATAACGGCCCTGTAGCCAAGTGCTATAAGTCTTTGAGCGTGGACTTTGGCGTCATGTTAGCCTCTGTGAAAAGGATCAGTGCTCCCAGCGGTCCCTGGGATCTGTCTCTTGCTTCAGCAGGGTTGGACAGAACAGACCCAGGGACGCCGCTTCTTCCAGTCTCCAACCAGCCTCCAACCTCTTTTCCAGTCACCACCTTTGGAACCACCTCAGCCATTCTCAGCCTCTGAGACCATCCAACACTGTTTTTGACCTTAACTCCTCATGGCTGAACAACCAGGAGCTCCCACATTCATCAGAATTATTCCTCTGAGGTGGAGACTGTGGCAAGCCGCTGGCCAACCTGCACCTGCAGGCCTCCTACACATACCTCTCTCTGGGCTTTCTGTTTCATCCCTGACAGTGTGGCTCTGCAGAGTGTGGTCCACTTCTTCCTCAAGTTGGTGGAGAAGCACAAGGTTGCCAAGCATCTCTTAAAGCTGCAAAACCAGCGCAGTGGTTTCATTCTCTTCCAGGATGTGCTGAAGCCTTCCCAAGATGAGTGGGGTAAAACTTAGGAGGCCATGGAAGCAGCCATGACCTTGGAGAAGAACCTGAACCAGGCCCTTTTGGATCTGCAGGCCCTGGGTTCTACCTGCATAGACGCTCATTTCTGTGACCCCCTGGAGAACCATTTCCTGGTTGAGGAGGAAAAACTCATCAGGAAGACAGGTGACTATCTGACTGACCTCTGCAGGCTGGCCATCCCACAGGCTGGGCTGGGCAAGTATCTCTGAAAGGCTCACCCTCAAGCACAACTAGGAGCCTTTGGAACCTAGAGGCCTTTGAGGGGTCCCCTCTGTATTTCCCTGGTATCTGGCTTTGCCTGAGTCTCTCCCTACAACCACTAGGCATCTTTTTAACCACTCCAGAGCCCTCTCCCATGCATTGGACCAAATGGAAACAACAAAGCTTTTTGCAGCACTGCCCCCCCCCCAAAAAAAAAGAAAGAAAAAAAGAGGAAGATAAAATTTGGGTAACTGGGCATTACTGTAATTTTTGTTTGTTTGCAACTTGCTTTTAGCAAGAAAAACAGATAAATGAGGACCATCCATGCTGTAAAAAGAAAATTGTTCTCTAGAAACTAAAGAGGAAAATGTAAACTATACAAAGTCTATTGTGGAAAAGCTTAATATCAATAGTTATTTTGAAATATGTAAAAACAAGCTATAGCAGAACAGTTTTACAAGAGGGAAGAAACACTAGAAAATGAAGCCCAGTGAAAGTCTATGCTCATGTAGAAATCTGAAGCACTTTGGAAAAAGTAGATTAAAATAGCTGAAGTACTTTTGCACTAGTGGAATTTATCATCCAGTTGGTACTGATGCATTTATTGCTCTGTGGAATGTGTTGAATATCATGAAAGGATGCCTCGTTTATCAGTAACTTGCTTTGATAAATGTAGGATTGTTTTATGGTTTAATGTTTCTTGGTTTCATGGTAAGAAAGGGAGGCACACTTGTGACACAGTGTGGCATAGAGGCCAAGGATGCTAAACATTTGCTGTGCCCAAGGCAGCCCCCCAAAACAAAGGCCCCGGAAGTCAGTAATGCCAAGGTTGAGGAACTCTGCGCTAATACACAGAATGAAACAGTAGACTGTATCTTTCTCTTTGTGTTTGTTTCTCAACTCTCCGTTATTCTCAGATGAACTGGGGTGAATAACCGTGTTTCTGTTTTTAATTTCCAATCTTTGTGGACTAATAACTTCTGTAAAATACAATGAAAATGTCATGGCAACCTCAAATTGTTAAAAAAAATTACCAAGTACTCTCAGTTTCTTTACTTCTCATGAATGGGTAGCAAAGTGTAGATTAGTACCAATCTGTGTGAATGAGAATTTTAGAGCTTTTGTCTCTGAATATTCTAAAATAAACTTGTATAATTTTAAAAAGATCTTATATATTTTTAGAGAGAGAGGAAGAGAAGGAGAAAGAATGGAAGATAAACACTGATGTAAAAGAGAAACATCGATCTGTTGCTTCTTGTATGAGCCCCATCCAGGGACCAAACCTGCAACCCAGGACACAACACAACCAGGGGTGGCAGGGGTGGGGGGGGGGGGGGGCGGGGACTGGCAACCTTTCAGTTTGTGGAACAAACCCAACCAACTGAGCCATACTGGTCAGGGCAAACTTGTGTAATTTTTGAAATTAAGGAAATGGTTTTAAAAAGATTCATATAGTATTTATGACAATTTGGCAGTAGAGAATTGCTTGATGGAAAAGAAATGTGAAATTTGTTGAGACTTTCACAATTAAAAATCGTTTTTGTTTTTTTATATCATAATATCTAGAGAACATGTATAGTTAGAGCAGGGATGGTTAACCAGTTGCTAGCATTCTCACCACCACACCAGTTTCATACCCTAGTCATATGGCCTCAGCAGGCCTTACATCAACCCCTGCCACAGCCTCAGCATCCTTCTTAATAAAATGCTAATAGAAGCTGCCCCCATTTTAAACATTTGGTGTCAGATATGACAACTACTTATCCTGAACTATGTTCTGAAGATCTTGTGAATATAATGCTGTGATTATCTTAACTTTGCATTTCTTTTTTGTTTTTGTTTTTGTTTTTTAAACAGCCTTCCTGATTTATCAAGGTTATTAAAAATCTAAAATCAAAGCTTTTCATGTGCTGGTCTCATCACATGTATACTATTCAGAGTCTTAATTATAGTGAAAGAAATTTATATTTTCATTTTATTTTATTGCCATATTTGCCGTGACAAAAATATATCTTGAGCCAAAGCAGAACTTACAGTAAAGACAATCATTGGTCTAGGGAACAAAGAAAATCAAATGGCTTTACAGGTGCACCTAGGTTTGTGGTTGTCAGAAGTGAAGTCTTGAAGGAGCTGTGGTCCATGTTATAGCTTCTTAGCTTCTTTTATTCATTTCACAAGTGTTTATTAGCCACCATCTGTGTGTCACGCACCACTCTTGATGATTGAGGTCCATCAAAACAAAATTGGTAAAACCCTCTCCCCCCAGTCTGGAGCTGACGTAGATTTTTTTTCTTAGCAACCTAAAAACTCATAAGGGCATCTAGCTTGACCAGCACAGGATTAAAATGTCACATGGATTTTCTTATGGCAGCATTAATATTTTCATCTGTGAAATTAAACAGTGAGTGAGGTTGTAGTAATTGTATAGCGAGGAAAGAATCACAAAATCAGGGACTTTTCCAGACTATGCCCCCCTTTTCTTTAAAGTTGGGATTTATCCTACCGTGTAAGAGTATAGTTAGTATAAAATATGAAAAGGAATGCAAAAACATTGTGAAAAATATTAGCTGTTTCATATAACATACAAACTTTTTTTTTTTTTTAATCAGAAACCCTAATGATGAAAAATACAGATCTATCCGGATTGGAAATGCAGCATTTTCTACTAGACTCTTGCCCGTCAGAGGAGCTGTTGAATGTTTGTTTGAAATGGGCTTTGAAGAGGTAAGTCTGTTCAAGAGTCTCTTCTCCCCAGTTCACATATAAAAAATGTTCATTATTGCGTTGATGGATAATTACCTAAATAAGATAATATTTAAAAATTAACTGATCGTTTTGGAAATAACTGTGGAAGTAGTTATTTCTTCACCTATTAGACATTTAAAAGTCATAATAAATGTACTTTGAAATCACAGTGAAATATAACAACTCTCCCATAGGGAAAATTCTTTTAGGTTTTAGTCCTTTTTAAACGGAGGTCAAACATGCAAACCAAGGACCAAATTGTAGCTCACTTCAGAATGTTAGCAAAAACCTGATTTGTGAGCACACGTGAGTACTAGTAGGGTACAACTACCTATCTCAGTAAAAAATGAAAAGAGTAAACACAGAAAAGCTGGGTTTAGTTGCCACTCATAAGTTTTGTGACAGGAGAAAAGAATCTTACTGCGTTTTTTTGTTTTTAGGTCAAAAGAAAAGTGTGGTGTTTCCATCTTCTTGGATATCTTATGGCATAGTTTAATGTTGTGACACTATGAAAGTAATTACGAAGCTTGTGAATTTTCTTTATGTGTATATGCTTAACCATTTATAATTTATGGAATACTGAAAGAAGTTGAACCAGGTTATGGAGACTCAGTAGTCAGTAGCAGTCAGAATTGACGAGGCTGTAGAAATTGCTGGAGACATGCTGAGTTGCTATAGGATATACTCTTTCTGCCTGTTCGCTTGCCTCCCCAGATTCTATTCCAGGCCCTGGGGATACAGCAGTGAACTAGGTAGATACAGATCTTCTCTAACATGAGGCTTGTGTTCTAGAAGGTTGACAGACTGTACACTTGAAAACAGATGGATGCAAAGAAGAAAATAAGATATGGTGGTGCAGTGAAAAGCAACTGGATTGGTGGGCAGCTACATAGGATGTGTGGGTCAGGGAAGGCCTCTGAGGAGATAACACTTGAACTGGGACCCATATGACAAGAAGCAGGTCAGGTACCCACAACTCTCCGGTAAGAGTATTTCAAGCAGAAGGATTCGTGTGTGCAAAGGACTTCCAGCAGGAGTAGTTTTGACACAGAAAATAGTTATACAGAGGAGTCCAGAGCATGGGGTTTTAAGAACTGTGGACTTTATTTATTCTAAGTGAGATGCATCAGAAGCCGTCAGAAGGATTTAAGCAAAGAATGTTTTTAAAGATTATGTTAGCTGTTGTGAAGGTAATAACTATGGTTGTTCTGGGATGGAGGCAAGGGGTAAAGCAGGGAGAGCAGTTAGAAAGCTTGTTGTATTAGTCTGCGTGAGAAGTGGTAGTGGTTGGCGTGAGTCCCAGGAGGGCAGGGCCTTCTGTCCATTGCGTTCCCTGTGTTGCCAGCTCCTGGAACAGTGCTGGCGCATTCAGGCACTCAGTAGACATTTGTTGGATTAGAGCCTGGTAGCAGGGGAGATTGGAGAGAAGTGGCGGGATCCAGACTTCTCTTTGAAACAGAATCTGTAGGACTTGCTGGTGAGTTGGATATGGGGTATAAGGGAAAAGAAGAAATCAAGATGACTTCTAGGTTTTGGTTTGAGAAACTGAGTGGAAATACAATTGAGAATGAGAAATCTTGGAGAGTAACAGATAGCAGGGGTTAAATCACTGCCTACTTTGCATAATTATCACCGATATGCTACTAAATATTCAAGTAGAGATGCCAAGTAGGTAGTTGGATATAAGAATCTGTAACTGAAAAGGAGAGATTAGGCTGGAGGTATAAATTATGGTGTCAACTAAACAGAGATTTTAAAACTAAAAGGGGAAAATGGAGACCATTGCTGAATTTGTTTAAGGAAATGTAGATTTTTGAGTCAAATGACAGAAAAATTTAGTAACAACTAGAGACTGGACTGATTTCTCATTGTTGGAGTGTCAAAGATTTAGTGGAATCGGATTTGCCTTCATTCAGCAACTAATTTGAGTGCCAGGTGTGGTGACCAACCATCACAGTTCATATGCAACTGTTCTGGTTTCAACACCGAGTATCCCACTTTGGAGAAAACCCCTCAGTCTCAGGCAAACCAGGTTGATCACGCCCATGCCAGGTAACAAACCAGCTTGAAATTTGTAATAGTATTTGTCACAAATGGAGTCACGGTTTCAGAGAAGATTATCGTGTTATGGTAAGACTAAATCAAACTTGCAGTTTCTGGCTGGCTTTGGACTTGACACCCTGGAACCTGTCTGAAGTAAGTGTTTCAGTGTGGCCAAGTTGCAGGAGGAACCAGTGGAGCTGAAACTGAACTCTACCACTGAAAGAAACTTGGTGCGCTTTGAGATGAAGTAGGAATCTAAGACCTACCCTGAAATTTTCAGCTGTGTGTTAAAATTCTGGGCACTTCAGAGCCCACTTGTCTCTGAAGCCACATTCTTTTTTTATGAAAATTCTGAGGAGATTGAGAAAGACTGAGATGCAAACGGTATGTGACCCATCAGGCTAGCTTAGTGGAGTGGTCCTCACCAGGAACTACACCCACCCTCCACCCATGCTGCCATCCTCACCTCAGGGGGAAGTGCTGGAGGAGGGCAGTTTGGGTTGTCGTGGTGACTGAAAGATACTAATTACAGCATTCAGCAGGCAGGCAGGGCCAGGTTTGCTTAACATCTGACAAAGAGAATTATCTCAGCAAAATAGCTTTGAGAAACATAGGTTCGTTAAATACTAGAATTCTCATTGGTATCTTGAAATGTTACTGGATGGAGTACATTAAGCCTTTAAATTTTTCCTTTAATGAAAATATAGTGCTGTTGATAAAACTTTTTTTGCTATAGACACTTTGGCCACAATCGTGTTCTGTTAGAACTGGTCCTGAAAAGAGTGAAGGGAGGGGAGCCAAGGCAAGAGCAGCGTCTCTGCTCTGTCTTATCATGGGGGCCTCTCTGACAGGGGGTCTGAGACATAATACTTGTTGTGCTATTCCCCATCGCTGTCCGTGGTGTTAGCTCTCTTTCTCAGTGTCCCTCCACTAGTAACAGTACGAGATCAGAACCCTCTATGTTTGACTTTAAACCAGACATCGGTTTCTCTTCCCACACTCATCATCATAGATGTGAGGTGGTTCCTTCTAATGTTGCAGAAGTCACTGTGTTCTAACTTGTGCCAGTTATCATGCAGGCAGTCAGCACAACTGCAGAATCAGTCTCTTTCTGCTCAGCTCATCCACCTGTACAAGTGTGTGGTTTTTGGTCTCTGTTCAGTCTAAGCTGGAGTCAGTTATAGCCTAACGATTAAGATCATGGAGTTTGAATCCTTATTCTAACAATTCTGTAGCATCCAGCAGGTTATTTAATTTCTTGAGACCTTTGTATTTTTATATAGAAAGTGGAAATTAACCTAATTCCTGTCTTTAAGGCTGGTTGTGAGAATCACTTGAGATAATGTATATAAAATGCTTAGCTCATGGCTAGAACACATAAACACAGTAAATGGAAATAGTCTTTTTTTGGAGCTATTATGAATATTGTATGGAGCTTGCTGGCCTCTTTCAGCTTTTTAAAAAGTATTCTTGCGGGATTGATTTTCACATCATTATTGAGTAATATCTTGGTCAGTTGATTCTTATACATCTGCCATCATGAGGAAAATAAGATTATTCTCAGTTGTGGAGTTTAATTTAAATGCTTACAATCTACAGTCTATCTACTGAAATTTGTAACATATTTTATCTCATTTGTAGTTGGTAGAATTACTGTTGTAATGCTGCTGCTTCTCACCACCTTGTGAACTGATTGAATATATTTTCACTTAACCTTTCTTGTTTTGTAATTTACTGTTTTACATTGTGAGCTTTGTTAGAATGTTTATTGTATCTCAAAGCACTCTGATTACAGTATGGATATTTATGAAATGAATCACTCCATAAAGAATTGGACTTCTGTTGTTTGTTATTTTGTTTTGTTTGGAACAAAGACATATGCTCTTACTAGACTAATGTATATCAACTCTCTTTCTCTAGTCCTTGGGACAAGTATTACTGTTAACTATCCATAGTTTAGAATTGACCATCAGGATGTACTTTTTGTTATCTGGCTAGAATTAGTGATGCCTATATACAGACTTCTAATCATGTAGCTGTTCTCTAAAGACTTGGGTTTGAAAGATTAAAAAGTTATTATGTGGCCCTGGCTGGCGTAGCTCAGTGGATTGAGTACGGGCTGCGAACTAAAGTGTCGCAGGTTCAATTCCCAGTCAGGGCATATGCCTGGGTTGCAGGCCACAGCCCCCAGCAACCGCACATTGATGTTTCTCTCTCTTTCTCCCTCCCTTCCCTCTCTAAAAATAAATAAATAAAATCTTTTAAAAAAATTATTATGTAATTTCTTGTTGGTTTTATGTGACCAGTGATCATTTTGTATGGCTGTATCTCTTTTATCATTATTTTATGGGGAATTTAATAGAAAATAGTACTATCATATACTATTGCAGAGAAGAGTTACATATTTCCAACTCATAAGGCTTTCTATTATTCCTAAAATATAAATATTTTTCTAAAGGTTCTTTGAACTAATAAAAGATTTAGTGTTATATGCTAACAAGAAAACAAATTTTCTTAATTTTCTGGTTTATGTTAGGCATTACCTTTAACTGTATATTTTAGAAGTACCATATGGTGAGGTAACAGAATGACCTTTATACAATATGTATTCTATAGTATTGGTTTCATTTATTTATACACATAGATATTCAGGGTCTGACAGAAGTGATACCTGCTTGAGTGTGGTTGGTAGGGCAATAATATGGGTATAATAATTTATAGTTTTAGTTTGAACATGTCACCTAAAATGTCATATAGTGTGCTTGGGTGTGATACTATTATTTATAGAATTTAATGCTTATGTTTTTGTGATAAAAGATTTTGAAATAAGAAAGGGGTGTTATTTGTGCCAAACCCTGTATCTAAAAATGATTGTTAGTATAAAGCAAAGATTAAATTTTTTTCGAATTTTACAAATTCCAGGGAGAAACACATCTTATCTTTCCTAAAAAAGCTTCAGTGGAGCAGCTGCAAAAAATCCGTGACCTCATTGCCATAGAGAGAAATAGCAGATTGGACGGATCAAATAAGAGTCACAAAGTAGAACTATCTCAGCAACCGGCAGCCAGTTCCAGCACCCAGCTTCCTGCAACACAGTCATCAAACCCTAGTGGGCTAGCCCAGCACGCGGGCAACAGTGAGGGGCAGCCATCAAGTCCACCGGCGGCGTCAGGGGTAATGTCCCAGTTAAACCTTAACGGTTTTTCTAAAGTGTCAAAACAGCAAACGCTTTGAAATACATTTTGACTTATTCCTGAATTTTTACCCCAGCTAGTCATAATTCTAATATGTCCACATTTTCCCAACTCAAAAACTGTCACATTTGTAATGAAAGTGGAAGAAATGGCTGTATTTTATTTGTACTTTTAAATCTGAACTTGTGGTTTATTGCTTCTGAGGTTAAGTTTTGCCTATTATTTATAAATGTACCTGCACTTAAATACGTTGGCACTTAAATCAGTTGTACAAATTAGCATAGAACCTAAAACGAAGTGACAAACTTGCTGGCCAGTGGTAGAGCCGTCAGACAGATTTCCTTTACTGCATCAATACTTCTGACCTGAATTTTACCTGCGCCCGTTCACTATGGGAGTCATTAATGCTAGCAGCCTAACCATTATCCTTGCCTCAATTCAATGAAAAATTCGGCTTCTTTAGGTTTAAGGTAAATAAAGCATTAATCTACTGATAGTGGTGCCAGCAGTTAATGAGGTTTAGTCATTAGCATATACAGATGTATACATCTGCAGAACTGAAATTAAACTGCTGTTGTCTTAACAAACATTCTTGATACACCTGAGTGATCTCCTTTAACCGGAAGTTGTCCTTTGTACAAAAATCCCTTTGATGTAGGTCCTTAAGTATTATTCTCTCAGTGTTCACTGTCAGAAAAATGTTCATGATTTTCTTTCGTAATTTATCAGTAGCCAACTTAAACTCATATTCTTCCTTTAACTTTTGTAAACCACCTTGTCTTTATTCTCCCAATAGCAGAACTTTATATATAGAGTCGATTATTAAATCTACTCTTAATTTCTCCAGGTGAATAACTCCACAGACTTTAACCTCACCTCCCTGGTAAGAAAATGATTGGCAGCCATTCCTTTCTGTAGAGCTGGGAAGGCCTGAAGCTTGTCTTTAAAAAAAAATAAAGAAAAGCCCAGCCAGTGTTACTCAGTTGGTTGGAGTGTCATCCTGTACACCAAAAGGTTGTAGGTTCGATCCCTGGTCAGGGTACATGCCTGGGTTGCAGGTTCAGTCCCCAGTTGGGACACATGCAGGAGGCAAACAGTTCTTTCTCTCACATTGATGTTTCTTTTTCTCCCCCTTCCTCTCTCTCGCTGGAAAATACATATATATACACACACACACACTTTTTTTTTAAATAAAAATAGTGGTAGGAACTGGTAGAAGAAGAGATGGTTACTGTTCTCTTTTATAATTCTTGTTGAGTGGTTTCTAAACTTCTTTTCATGGAGAATTAACCCTTATAAGAATATTTCTTTGTGCCTCAATTGAAAAGATAAACAAAATTGACAAACTATTAACCAGACTCATCAAGAAAAAAAGAGGGGGGGTCCAAATAAATAATATCAGAAACAAAAGAGAAGTTAAAAAAATTTTTTAGAGTATTTCATTGCAATTATAAAAATAATAGTTGTATTAGATCATGATAAATAAAATGAGTTAATTTTTAAACTAATCTTACAAGACATCCTCTTAGTCTGGATCTGTATATGATCTTTATAAGAGAAGAAATCTCTTTGGACAGATGATTTCAATGTCCAATTTCTTGTTTATAAACCTACTATTTTTGAAGGTAAAATAAACCTACATACCTTTCAGTAGGAGATTACTTAAATTATAAGACACATCTTTAAATCAGCATTTTTTGCATCCATTATACATGATGATGGGGTCTGTTTTGACCCAGAATTATTATGTGGGGAAAAAAGGTAAACTCAGAATTCCAAAGTTACACTCACATGTTGTGTGTATGTGTATAATTCAGTTTTTCATAGGAAAGATGCACAAAAATAAGTGTGTTTATTTTTAGTAGGTCTGGAAAGCTATACACAGACATCTTAGACATAATTTACTCTGAGTGGTGAAATTATAGGTGATTTCATATTTTTTATACCATTCGGTATTTTCCGAAATAGTTTTTGCCACGTGTATTACTTTTATAAATAGAAAAAGGGGGGCTTGTAAGAAATAAGTTTATTGAGCCTTGGCTGGTATGGCTCAGTGGATTGAGTGCTAGCCTGCTAACAGAAGGGTCACTGGTTTGATTCCTGGTCAGGGCATATGCCTGGGTTATGGGCCAGGTTGTGAGCAAGGTCCTGGTTGGGGGTGTGTGGAAGGCAAGGGATCAATCTATCTCTTGTACACTGGTGTTTCTCTCCCTCTCTTTCTCCCTCCCTTCCCCTCTGTCTAAAAATAAATTAATGAAATCTTAAAAGAAATACATTTATTGAAGTCACAAATTGATTAAAACTATCATTAAAATACAGAACTTTTGTGTGTAAAAACAAGTTCTATTTAAAAGCCACAAAAGTGCAAAGGGTTGCATAAAGGTAGAAAGAAGGCTAGTAAAATGTAGAAGCATTGGTTTGTTACTAAAGAAGTGAATTTGCTAATCCAGCTTCTGCTGGTTGTATGATTTGACAATATACACATTGTACTTTTTCTTATAAATAATCTTAAATATATCTCACATTAGAAACCAAAATAATTAGAATCAAGTATGATTAGTGAATTAAAAAATCTTTTTATTTAAAAGATACAGATTTCACATTCTAAACTTCCATTTTTATTCCAAATAACTAACTCTGAAGCCATTAACTGCTGCCTTATGTACATGGCTGCGCAGCTGCTGTAATTGCCATGCAATCAGCAAACTTCTATTTTTATGACTTAACTTTTTCTGGAGTTGTGCCAATTAATATATAAAAAAATAAGGCAAGAAAATAAATGTTATTGTTCAAGATCGTTTGACTGCCTTTAAAAACCACAATGAATGAGCTAATTTTCAGACTGAAAGTATTAAATTGAAAATAAAAATTCCCTGGATGCATTCATACCCTCCTGGTTAGTGAAAATCTGCACTTAAGAAAAAAAAATGCCACAGTAAATGCCTCATTTTTATAAGGATTCTTTCAAATAAAAATGAAGACTTGTTTTTAATGTTTCTGTAGCAGTTCTAGTAAAGGAGCATATTTCTCCCTGTTGTGAATACCCTGGATTTCTTATCACCAAATCAGTCAGGTTTCTTTAGTCATCTGTTCTATTCATCATCCCTTCTGTTAATGCAGGAAATGTGTCTACTCTTAGTAAAGGCCAGGACCTTTTCTGTGCCTTTACCCCTTCTCTTCCGTTCCCTCTGGGATCTCACATGAACTGTGCCCAGTCTCGAATCTCTTCTTTTCTTGAGCATTCTTCTCAATGGCATTTAAACCCTGTTTTGAGGCCAGTTTTCATCGAAGGTTGGACCATTGGCATCAGAATAACTTGGACGTGCAGATTCCTGGACATAACCCAGACCAGCTGAACCAGAAAGGGAGAAGGAGAACTTGGGACTCTGCATTTTTCACAAGCAGAGTAATGTTTAAGAACCTTTTCCGTGAGCTCTCTTATCCCAGAAACAAGCCAGCACACAAATACCCCTGGATTCTGCGTGTCCTGTATTTCTCATTTCTGCTTCACAGTGAATTTCAGGAACTGAGCCCGCCATCCTCATCACTGTATCTCATGTACTCCCTACCGGGTCTTCCTATTATGTGCTCTATCAGTGAAGTGTTTCTGAGCATATCATCTCAATCTATATTTGTTTATAAATCATACACATATACTTTTATGCCAGTATACTACGTATATTATAAACAATGTAAAGAAGAGGTTAAAAGTGAAAAGTGTTTATAATTTTTAAAAAATATATTGACTATTATTAACAAATGTGGACATGAATCTATATTTTAAATACTCTTGATAATTTTGAATTTGGGGGCTATCTTTCTCAGATCCCAGTAGATTTGTGAATTTTTTTTTTTGCCTTAAAATATAGCTGTTGAAGGGCTCATACTAAAACAGCAACAGATGTGTTAGCCCTGCAGTTTTCTCGTTTACATGTACTTGTGTTATTCCTATTAGCATCAGTGCCTACAGGTCTTTGTAATCTTTTTTTTTTTTAGGCCAAGTTGAAGGTTAATTTAGTTAAAACTGCATAATATATCTGTAAATCCTCTTAACCAGGCACATTTAAACTGCAAAACTTTTTAACACTGTGAGAGTAGAAGCAGGGGTGAACCTTCCAGTGTTCATCGCTCTACCCATCCTTTCCTCCCTCGGGATAGCTCCTCTAGCCTGAGAGGGAGCCCTATTCATTGAAATACTAAATGTTATTATAACAGTGCTTTACCTTTTGTACAGAAAATAATGTAAGTACAAGTTCTAATATTTTCTGTTCGCATCCCAGTGGACTATTCTGTGCAGCTCCTTTGGGTGCACATGGCCCACTTTGGGGCACCACTCAGACAAGTCCGCCTCTTGCTAACACTTACAAAGCCTCTCACTAAGATGGTCAACAAGCTTCCTGCTGCTGAATTGAATGGACTTTTCTTTAGCTCATTTTTTATCTGTGCATGTATGATTTTTGCCTCAGTTGATCATTTTCTGGTTTTTCTCCTACTATAAGCAGTTAAAGTAGTTCAGCCGTTGGCCCCCTTGCTCGTATCGAAAATCTGTGGATCATTCCTATGTGCTTTCCTACTTTTCTTACTGCCCCCTGGCCCCACTGCTCAGTCACCAAGACTTGTTGATTCTGTTTCCTGAGTTCTTTTTTATATCCATTCACTCTTCTGCCTCCCTCATTTAAGCCACCAGCTCTCTCAAGAGTTCTGCAGTCCTCCCCCATTGGGTCTTTTTATCCCTGCGTCTCCACACTACATTCTGAAAACACTCATCTGATTGTTTACTCCCTTGCTTAAGTCCCTTTCATAGTTTCCCATTACAATGGAAAAAGGTGAGAAAAATCTAGCTTCCTACCAGCCCAACTCCATTCTCAGCCTTCTCTTTCTATCATTTTCCCCTTAGTTCTCTGTGCTCCGATCTTCTCTCTGATGTTTCACATTATGCTAAGCGTATCCCCTACACACATACACATGCTCCCCATCTACCTACACGCTGTTCTGGTCTTTTTCTTCCCCTACATTCCAGCCACTTCTCATCCTTTATATTTTACCACACATATATAGTCATGGAGTTCTAGGGTCAGATTGAAAAGTCTCACTATCGTTATTTGCTTTGTAATTCTTATCATACCTATGAATAAATTGTCTACACCATTACATCCCCAATACCTTGCAAATAATAAAAGGTCATTAAATATTTGAATAAATAAACATTGTTGTATCAGTGTTTATTTCTGTATTCATAGACTGCTTTGTGAGGATAATGTCCTTGTCTCTTTTGGTCTCCGTTATTTTTGACTCAATGTGGTGGTTCTGTCATTTCTGCTCAGTGCCTCCCCGCAGCCCCTTAGACTATAGAGCAAGTGTGTCTGTCTTGTGCACACACCCCCAGTGCTCAGTACAGTGCCTGACGTTGAAGTACGTATTTGGCAATAGCGTTTATTTTCTTCATTAATCTATCTCTACCTTTTAATTACACACATTTAACTCATTCATACTTTCTGTAATAACTAACATGTTGGAACTTATTTCTGACATTTCATTTTGTATTTTCTATGTTCTTGCTTTCTTGGCTTCTTTTTCTTTTTGCTTTATTTTTATTTTTTCTATTTTTGTTTTGTTTAAGTGGACTGTGCCAGAAGGAACTATTCTTAGCTTGGACATTCCTCTTTCCTTTTAGGAATCTAGGCATCCTCCAGCACTGCTCAGAGGCACATCCTTTGTTGACAAGGAGTGATGGGGTCAGGGGGTACAAAATGTCTAGGTGTTCCTGCTGCAGGGCCCAGTCCAGGCTCCCTCGTGCTTAGTCCAGGGCCTCTTCCTGCTCTGGGGATTCTGTGGCTCCTTTTTTTTTTTTTTTTTTTAGGTTTTTTTTGTTTGTTTGTTTTTTGTTTTTTTGTTTTACTTTTTATAACCACTTCCTCTGGAGGGCATATTGCTGTGATTTCTTCCTTTATTCCATTTGTATTTGCCTTTCCACTTTATGAGTGTACTCTCCTTTGCTAATGCTGAATAGAGTTTTAAAAAATTGTGTTACTTACAGGAATTTGAAGTGGAAAGGGCTGTCACGTGCATTGCACAGAGCATCGTCTTGATCCAAGCTTGTGCACAAGAACTTAAACCATACCCCTGTTTAAATGTATTCTTAGTAACACACTCAGAGGAAAAAGTAGGTACACATCAAACTATGACACAGACCTGGCCATATCCTAGTACTGATTTCATAAAGGTTTTGAATGTAATTATCTCAGTAAATCCATACATTCCTCTTTATGACATCATAGAACCACTGTTTTGTAGTACATATTTTTGTAGCATATGGAGAAAAACTAATTTCAGTGTTTTTTTTCCTGTTAGGTTACTGCTGGTTCAATCATTCTAAAAGTGCTTCAGGCCAACCTTCAGCATGTGCTGGTCTACGAGAATTCTGCTCTCCAGGAGAAAGCGTTGGCTTGCATTCCAGTCCAAGAGCTAAAAAAGAGGTCGCAAGAAAAGTTATCTCGAGCTAGAAAATTGGATAAAGGTAGTGGCTTTACATAACCATTCATTGCTAAAAATGCAGCATTGCTAAATAAATGGAAACATGAAAAGATGCCTTTTGCTGTATACATTGTGAATATCTAACCTATGTGTATTTGGATTTTTAAGGAATACAGCAAACAGCATAACTTTATTGCATGTATCTAATGGACACGTTTGTTAACATTTTATAAAAAAAATTTTTACGTGAGTATGTATTTCACAGTTTAATCATTACTATTCGTAGGTGAATATTTTTAGGTATAGTAGAACTTGAGTCCATGGAATATATGATGGCATTATAGGGAATTTTAATATGAATCTGGCAGAAACCATATTCATAATTAATTCATATGATTAGACCATTGGTTCACCTCAGTTAATACAAAGACATTATTTACTAAATAAGAATATAGATTTTTGAAGCCAGCTGCCTGGGTATAAATTCAGTTCTGCCACTACTGTGCATCACTGAGCAAGTAACTCACTCTGTGCCTCAATTTCTTCATTTGCAAATAGGAATGACAATTTTAAGAAATAAATGAGGTATCACATGTAAATGGCTCTGGAAAATGCCTCCCACATCCATCTACCAATAATTAAGTTATTGTTATCATTAATGGTCTTAGGATTTTAATTATTCAGGTATTCCAACTTCAGCATTTGACTTTGCATTTGTATGCAGTTGTTTCTTTTCTGGCTATTGTGAGGACTCAGAGGAGAAGGATGATGACAGTGCTGTATTTCTAGAAGTTCATATTTAATCTACCGTTCACAACTCTCTTTTTGTTGGGAAACTTTCATGTTATGCAGGAAAAGCTAAATTCTCCCTGCCTATCAGTCCTTCTCTTCCGTAGATAACACTGTTATCTTGTGATGTGTTCCTTTTCATCTTTTTCTGTGTATTTACACTCATTTACAGTTATCTGTAAAAATAGTTCAAATACTGATCTCACCTATAAGTGGCACCTAATAAACAAAACAAACAAGCAAGCAAAATATAACCAAAGACATTGAAATAAAGAACAAACTGACAGAGAGGTGGGAAGGGATAACGGGGCGGGGGGCTAGTCTTCAAAGAACATGTGTAAAGGACACAGGGACAAAGCCAAAGGGAGGTGGGATCAAGGGTGGGAGGTGGGTATGGCTGTGGTGGGGGAGAAATGGAGACACCTGTACCTGAACAACAAAAAAGAGAGAAAGAGAAAAGTAGTTTAAGTTGTGTGGGTTTACATAATATTTATCATCCCATGCATCTTCAGCTCCTTGGTGTTCTTCATTTACTGTTATGTCTTAGAGATCTTTTTGACTGTCCGAGATGTTCTGTAGTGTGCATATGCTGTTATCTGTACAGTTCCCTGTTGGAGGACACGGAAATGTTTTACCATTTCTCTCTAGCCTGAATGCTGCTGCAGTGAAGAGTCTTGTAAAGCATGCCTCCTGGCATACACACACAGATGTTTCCCTGAGACAGATATAAAAGTGTCACGAGTGTGAGATATATTTGTTACAATGGATCCCAGCAAACAGACTGAGTTTCGGTTCATACCAGAAGTGTCTGAGGGTATTGGTGTGCACTTAATGAAATCATTGAACTTCTTTTAAGGACTTCCTGAATTTTTCTGATGGTTTTGTTAGTATTCTTACTGATATGTAGAAGTTCTTTATATATTCTAGGTACTTTTCTTTGTTAGATATGTTACTTTTTTCCCACAGTGTTCTCTGTTTCATTTCACTTGGTGTACATTTTGATATACAGAGTTATAAATTTTATAAGAAATTGTTTTTATTTTATTTTTGTCTTGGTTAAGGCCACAAACATATTCATAAACAAAAGTCATAAACTGTTCTCTTGTAACTTCTATTACTTCATATTCTTTTATAGTATTCTCTATGTATAATTTTTATAGATAATATAAAATAATTAGGATGAATGAATTATAATAGGGACCTGTTATCTTGATAGCTACCTGTCCCAATGTCATTTATGGGGCAGTCCATCCTCTCAGAACTGCTTTGAAAGGCTGGCTTTACCAAACACGGTTTATCACTGAGAAGTCCGTCTTTCAGGACTCTCTTTAGTCTTGCTGATCTATTGTCTGTTCTTCACCAATATCACAATATTTTAATCATTAGAATTTTGTAATGTGTTTTGGTACATAGCAGGCAAACTTATCTCATAGTTCTTATTCAAAGTTATATTGACTATTTTGTGCATTTTTGCTTTTATATGACTTTTGCATTATTTATAATTTTAATTGGGATTGCACTACATTAGATTAATTCATGGAGAATTAACAACTTGAGAATATTGAGTTTTCTCATCCAGGAAAATAATTTTTCTGGTCTTTTTATCTTCTCTGTAGTTTTTCCTATAGTTTTTTATTTTGAGATACATCAAACATAAATATAAGAATAGAGCATAATATATCAGACACCCATGACCAGCATCAGACATTGTTAGTTAGATCTTAACATTATGCCATACATTTCCTTCATGTATCAATTTTTGAACAAAGTTAAATATAGAGATGAGAACTCCCTGGATAGGTCTCCTAGATTTTTTCTCTTCTTTCCATTTCAGAGATACCATAGCCTTGGATATGGTCAAGGAAAACCTTTTTATTTGATGAAGTAGATATGATATTATGTCATGTTTACATGCTAGGGTCATTATATACACTGTAGACATTGTCATGTTTCTGTGTGTTTTATGGAGTGTATCCATGGATGGATTATGTTGTATATTGAAGCACTGATAAAAAAGCTAATAGGGTGATTTTTAAAGTGTCTGGGATTTTGTGATTTCTGCCTATGACTTTGTGATTGTTTCATATTTACTTACATATATACCCAATACCAAATTTAATGTAGTAATTTTAAAGTGTTTTTCCAAATCAGATTTTTTTTCTTACTTTCTTTGTGTTTTGGGATCAATTCCAAACTGACCATAGTTCCCTGAGAGATTGTTGTGTTCAGCTGAGGTTAATGTGTAATGTCATTTCAAGGGCACAGAGTGGCAAACACCCTCCTGTTGGAAATGTGCAGTACACTGTCACTGACTGTATTTCAGCCCAGCTCACACTGGACTGGCATTTATTTCTTGCACCGGTATTTTGTGCAAACCTTTTCATCATCTTTTATTTTCATATATTTTAGCTCATATTTGAGAATAAAATATGTGGGTACTTTTCATGTTTGTCAGCTTTAGCTCTTACTTGGTTCTGTTTCGATTTCTCAGGTACTAATTTAAGTGATGAGGATTTTCTTTTGCTGGAGCTTTTACACTGGTTTAAGGAAGAATTTTTTCAATGGGTGGATGACATTTCATGCAGCAAATGTGGTGGCAAGACTAAGTCTAGAGGTGAAGCATTATTTCCCAATGATGAGGAGCTAAAGTGGGGTGCAAACAGAGTAGAAGATCATTACTGTGATGCATGCCAGCTCAGCAGTCGGTTCCCGAGGTGGGTATCCCCTGGACAGTAACATCAGAGTAATCACTGAATGGAATGGGTAGGAGAGAATTTTTATTAAATGACCTTTTAAATTTTCATTTCACATTTTAGGACGGGGATCAACAAACTATGGCTGGCCATAGTTTGTGGGCTAAATCCAGCCCACATCCTATTTTAGTCAATAAAATTTTATTGGAACACATCCATACTGATTTGTTTATGTGTCCAACCTGCGGCCCTCAGACACCATGCAGTCCAGAATCACTGTGAATGCGGCCCAACACAAAATCGGAAAATACTTAAAACATGAGATTTTCTTGTGATTATGTATCACAATGTATTTAATGTGTGGCTCAAAACAACTCTTCTTCTTCCAGTGTGGCCCAGAGACTTCAAAACTCACCACAGGGGGAGTTGGACTCCCCTGTAACTATTTTTACATTGCAGTGGCGGAGTTGAATACTGAAAACAGATCATGTGGCCTATAAAGTCTAAAATAATTACTGTGTGTCTTTTTATAGGAAAAGTTTTTTTAATATTGCACTTGAATAGAAATTGAGTATAGTCCTAGCACATTTACTGCTGTTAACCTTGTATTATTCTTTTAATACATGAATTTTAATGTTCCGATAACTTTAATAATAATACTTGATAGAATGTAGTAAAACTAATGCTAATAACAATAATAGTACCGATAATTGTGATAGTAAATACAGTGCTCTACGTATTAAAACAATCATCAGCTGGTCATGTGGAAGGTAAAAATGTAGTAGCATCGTGTGTGTGTGTGTGTGTGTGTGTGTATTTTTAATTACAGAAGTTTGTTTTAAATAAGTGCCTCCCCTGCCAAACCTAACCTCCTTTCATATCTCTAAATTTTAAACCAGGGAAATTTGAAATTTTCAATTAATTTTTTCTATTAATTTATAAGCCTATTATCAGATTTTCTTAATTGGCAATACTTATAAAGCTTGGGTGTATCATCAGGCAAGAAAAGATATCATGTGTTGAAAATAGCTAATTTTGTGTGCTTAGGGACTTAATTCTGTCCTAACTGGGAACCATCCCTGTGATGTGCAGACTATAGGATAAACAAAATCCAATATCCAGTAATTAATTGAAATTTGTACAAGTTATTTCTTCATTCAACATACATTTGCACAGCATACTTTGCAAAGATTTGAAGATAAAAGATACATAATCAAATTCCTCTTAAAAATTCTTTCTAGGCAATTGAATATAAACTGATAATGCAGTGTAAAGGGATACAGGCTAACAGATATTTATACAGTGCTGTTTTTCTCATTCCAAACAGTTGCTTGATTTCCTGTTAGCTGCTCTCTGTATAGGGTTGGGGTGATGAGCACCATTAATTAGGGGCTGAGCTGGTCATTCATTCTCCTTGGCACAAGTAGTACACAGAAGATGGCGATATAGAATGTTCTAATTCTGCTGTTTTACTACTTAATGTAAATTTATAACTTTTTTCAATGACTTAATTACCTAAATATAAATCCATTTAACTTATTTTAAGCAAGAGCACCTGCTTCAGATGAACTTGTCATTGCAGAGCCAGTTCATTAAGGTAATCGTGTCCTTCCCTCCCAGGCCCAAGGCCAGCATTTCTGCTCAGCTGAGGCACTTGTCCTGCTTGGCTCTATCAGGTCAAAATCCTTCTCAACGCAAATGCAAAATTTGCTGTCCTACAGTTTTGTGATAATTTCATAATTGGAGACATAGCAACATCTTTCAAAAAACAAACTCCAAATTAACAAGCACCACATTAAGTAGTTCAGAAAAATTAAATTTCAATCAAAATGATTATTAGACACAAAAATAGTATTTTAAGTAAAACTGAGTTCAGCTAAGCTTTAAGAGCTTTATTGAGTAATCTGCTGAAGTTGCTCACCTTTTAAATACAGTGAGGTGATTACACTACTTGTTAGGGAAACATTAATGCTCAAAGCAGATTTCCTGGAGAATCCCTGCCCAGGCAGGTCCTGTCTGTCCTTCGGGACCAGCGCAAACAGAAGCCCTCTTCCCAGCCACTGCCCCGTGATGCGCATCTGACCTGTGCTGTCTGGATCACGCTCTGCTGTGGGTGCAAGCTGTGTTCATTCGTTCTCCCTCTTAGGGCTGTAAACTCCTTGAAGGCTGCACCACTGTGTAATCATTTTTACCAAGGATTCACTGCCTCATGTGTTCTTCTAGGCTCTTTAATTATTGCGAATATGAAATTAGAACTCTTACTGTTTAGCACGGAGGTAATATACATTCGTTAAAATGCTTCTTTTGGATAGTGAATCAAAACTTGTTGTTGTTGTTTAAAACCAGGTATAATAACCCAGAGAAACTTTTGGAGACGAGATGCGGACGGTGTGGCGAGTGGGCCAATTGTTTTACACTGTGCTGCCGAGCCTTGGGGTTTGAAGCCCGCTATGTTTGGGATTATACAGGTACAGCACTGGTATGGGCAGAGAGTAGTGGGGCTTTGCAGACGTAAGGACTGGGACTTGCAGTCTGGGCTTGTTATTCTCTGTCTGTTACTATCTGGCCTTGTCGGTCTGAGCTTCCATTTGCCTTCGGTAAAATAATAGTAATACCAGCCTAATTGTTTTTTTATGGGGATCACAAGATTTTTGTAGCACACCTAGCATTTTGCTTAGTGCTTTGCACTATAAACATTCTTTCCGTGACCTTTTTAGTGATGGTGTTTCTATCTAGATAAGAACATGTATAGTAATGTGTTATAGAAGTGTTCACTTTTGTAGGGATTCACATAAAAGATTTAGTAATCTTAATATACAAAAAAGTAATAAAAGCCATGTGAAATGTATATTGTCCTTATTTAGAAATGACTCACTGTCACCTACATGTGAAAAAGTTGTCTTCCTTGTTCTTAGTGTTTTACTTGTGTTTCATTGTTGTTGTTGTTTTTTTTAAATAATAAAATGAAACCTTCACTTAATAGTTACTGTTCTGTTACAATCAAATATAGAACGTCAATAACCAGACATCTTCTGTTAGACCACCTTCTGGTCCTGGGTCTTAAAGGTCGAGAAAGATGGCCATTTTCAAAAGCAGCATTGACTTCTTTATATTTGCAAACTGATCCCTATGTTTTTTATGCTATTGTTCAGTATGGTCACCTTTCTTAAGGACATGGCTCACATGGTTTTTATTTAAGCCTGAAACTGACTCCAGAAACATTTTCAAAGATTGCGAAGAGACAGAGAAAACAAATGTTCTAGAGTATTGTGTTCCACAAAATGTTCAATCTTATTAAATAAAATTTAGAGTATTACAAATAACTTTATTGTGTGATTCTTAGGAGTTTATATATAGTTTTTGGAAGTCATTCTGGTTTTATAAACTTAACCTTTTTTTCCCTCTTTCCCTGTTGCTTTCTTGTCTCTCCCTCGGGTAGACCATGTCTGGACGGAAGTCTACTCTCCTTCTCAGCAGCGGTGGCTGCACTGTGACGCATGTGAAGATGTGTGTGACAAGCCACTCCTCTACGAAATAGGATGGGGCAAGAAGCTTTCTTATGTCCTAGCATTTTCTAAAGATGAGGTAGGGCATAAAAAAAATTTTTTTTCTAAGAATAAAATACAATTTTCTGACAGCTTTTGAAAGTATAATTGACACGAGAAAAAGTATGTTTTAAAGTGTACCATTTATTAAATTGTGTCATTTATATATACCTATGAAATTATATTTACAAAATCAAGATAGTGAACATATCCACTATCCTTGGAAGTTTCCTTATGTCCCTTTGTTATCCCTGTTTCTTGTCCCTGTCCAAGCAACCACAGATCTGCTTTCTGTCATTATAGCTTAATCTGCATTTCTAGAGTTTTATGTAAATGGAATCATATAATATATAGATGGTCCTACTTATGACTATCAGGTTAATGATGGTTGATCTTAAAGTTTTTCAACTTTATGATGGTGCAAAAGCAATGCACATTCGGTAGAAACTGTACTTTAGATTTTGAACTTTGATCTTTTTCTGGACTAGTGATATGTGGTACCGCACTCTCAGGGCATTGGGCAGCAGCAGTGACCTGCAGCCCCCAGTACACTCACTATTCAGCCAGTCACAGGGTAAATAACCAGTACTCTACAGGGTACTAGTATTAAGTATATTTTCAACTTATGATACTTTCAACTTATGATAGATTTATTGGGATGTAACCCCATTACAAGTTAAGGAGCATCTGTATCCTCTTTTTGGTGAGGTGAGGATGGGAGAGTCTGGTTTCTTTTACTCACTATAATTATTTTGTGATTCATTCATGTGTTTTCATATATCAGTGGTTCTTTTTATTGCTGAGTCGTATCTCATTATATGGATCTACCATAATTTGTTTATCTGTTTACCTGTTGATGGACGTATTTGGTACTTCCCCATTTTTTATTATTTCAAATAAAGCTGTTACGTACATCAACACAAGCGTTTATATGGGCATTTGCTTTTTTTCCTTTGGTACATTCCTAGCAGGGGAATGGCTAGACCATATGGTAGGTGCATGTTTCACTTTTTAAGCAACTGCTGTACTGTTTTCCACAGTGATGGTGCCGCTTTACATTCTCACCAGCAGCATGTGAGAGTTCCCAGTTTCTCCATGTCTTTGCTAACTGACATTTTTTATGGTCTCATTCTTTAATTTTAGCCTTTTTGCTAGATGTGTAGTGGTATCTCATTGTGGTTTTCATTTGCATTTATGAACAATACTGAGCATCTGCATATGTGCTTATTTGCCATCTGTGTGTCCTCTTTGCGCATTTTTTAAAATGGGATTTCTTTATTATTGAGTTTTGAAAGTTCCTTGTATATTCTGAATGCAAGTCCTTTATTAGATATATGCTTTGCAAAAAAGTTCTCCTTATCTGTGTCTTATCATTTCATTTCCTCGTGACTTTTGAAGAAAAGAAATCGATGAAGTTCAGTTTATTGATTTGTTCTTTTATGGATCATGCTCTTTGATGTTGTATCTAAGAAATTTTTGCCCAAGACAATGATATTCTCCTTTATTTTGTTTTATAAGTTTTATACTTTTAACTTTACACTTTTATTTTGTATATATTCCAAGTTATGGATTGAAATTCATTGTTTTGCATGCAGATAATGAATTGTTCTAGCACTTTTGTTGAAAAGATTACCTTTTCTCATTCGAATTGCTTTTGCATCTTTGTCAAAAATCAGTTCTATAATGTAAATTTTAGACACTAAAAAATAGAAAAAGGTTTTATTTGTTGAATTTTGTAAAATTTATAGGTAAGTTTAAAAAAGCCTAAATATTGTGAAAACTTCATTTTATCTCAGTCCCTTCCTTGGAAGTGTGCCAATTAGAAAATGAATTTTAAAAAGTAGCAGATTGTCCAGTGTTTTTCCACAGGTTTTCAACTTTAAACAAAGAATAGCACTTAAAATGGTATATTTAGGAATTACATTCTAGGTATTTAAGGTTGATGGCTGTAATCTTAAACATTTGTGTTCTGTGATTTGAGGTGGTTGATGTCACTTGGCGATATTCTTGTAAACATGAAGAGGTGATCTCCAGAAGAACTCAGATTAAAGAAGAATTACTTCGAGAAACTATTAATGAGCTTAATAAGCAGGTAGGTGGTGGGCATTTGTCATTTTTGAGACGACATTTGAAATTTTTTTATATAATCCAAGAGCCAGCTTTTAACCCATTGAAATTTTTAAAATTGTAACATGATTTTGCAAGCAAAAATATTTTTATATGTTAAATGTCTTTTTGTTCATTGAAAAGTTTCATTACCTATTTTAAATACTGTACCTTTTTACATTACACTGTCACGTCTCTTAAAGTTCAGTGAAATAAAATTTCAGTATGTATAATACTTGACAAAAAGTATGTTGTTTTATTTACCTAAGTAATTGTGTCTTGGATGTAATTACATACACACATACTTACTCAGGTATGAAAATTTCTCAAACAAGGCACAGGGAATTGTTAACAACGATTCCTCCAAGAAGACCCGGGAGTCCAACGAGGGAAGATTCAGTTTTTATTTTCTATGTCTTTCTTAGCATTGAAACTTTTTGCTATATATTTGTATGCTTTTTTTAATAATTTAAAAAACGGTTTTGCTGCTGTAAGGCAATTAGAATTATGGGCGGCTCGCCTTAATGCAGGCAGTGACTGAGGTTCAGTCTATTTGGAACCTCACCCTATTTCTAACGTGTAGCCCATCGGAAATCCTAGGCTGAAAACCAGGAGAATTTTCGGGAGCCCCTCCCTTCGGAAGGCTAGCCAGCACTGTGTTTCTGCTAAAAACTCTGCTTTGGTTTTCAGCACTTTAGCCTCCGTTTCGTGCTTGCTTTCTCAGCCTCGCCTCATTTCAGTTAATAATTAGCAAGTGTCCAGAAGGGAAAAGAGGTGCAGTATTGGTTCACCTCAATTTATTTCTTGGGATCTTAGTTTCTTCAGTTCTGGCTGCGTAGGTAGTTTTCTGTTGCATTTGAACAGGTGTTTGTACGTGTGTATCTGTGTGTATCTGTGTGTACGTTTTCCCGCTTCTCCAGGTTTTCTCTCAGGCAGGAGTCTGACACGAGCTAGTTTATCGTGGCCAGAACCAGAGTTCACCCCCCCTTTATTTTAAACCTAGGACAGTAAAGGTCATGAGATTTGGATATGGGTATGAGAATTAAGTTTTCTAAAATTAATTTTTAATTTTCTAGTGTCCATTTTATTTTCCAAATAATTATACATGTGAAAATAAAGTTTGTTACTTCTTTTAAGATTCCCTTAATTACAAATGTTTTAAGTATATTCTTACTTAGAGATGGACCTCTACATTTTCCTAATCTTAATGACTTCTTTTTAAAACGTGAATTGCAGAGGCAAATGTCTTTGTCAGAAAACAGAAGAAAAGAACTTCTCCAGAGAATAATTGTGGAGCTTGTTGAGTTTATATCGCCCAAAACCCCTAAACCTGGAGAACTTGGAGGAAGAATATCTGGGTCAGTGGCCTGGAGAGAAGCCCGAGGTGAAATGGGTCTAGAGGTACTTAATTCCTTATGGCATGATAATCTCCTCACTTTCCTGCTTCTTGTACTGCACTCCTTAATACTGCAGAATGCATTGGCCATCACCTTTCAGTTAACTTTTCAGTATGATTACTAAAAAATGTAAATATTTAGACTGGCCAGGTTGGTCAGTTGTTTGGAGCTTCGACCTGTACACCAGAAGGTTTTGGACTCCATTCCAGGTCAGGGCACACCCTTAGGTTGTGGGTTTGATCCCAATCAGAACTCTTACGGAGAGCAACCAAACAGATCTCTCTCTCTCTCTCTCTCTCTCTCCCCCCCCCCTTTCCTCTCTCCTTCCCTCCCTCCCTCTCCCTCTCTCCTTGTCCCTCTCCCCCTGCACTTCTTCTTTCTCCCCCCCACCTCCTCCCTCTAAAATCAACAAACATATCCTTGGGTAAGGATTTTTTTTTAAAGTTAGTCTAATCAAATATAGAGTTAGCAAAACATCTTAAAATAGAATTTTTCTAATTACCTATATAAATTTTGAGTATAGTGTAACTTTTACTGCAGTATATACAGAAAAATGCACAAATTATAAGTGTATAGCTGAACAAATTTTCACAAATTGAGTACCTGTGTAACCACAAACTGTAATAAAATAGACCATCAGAAGCTCAGAAACAACTACGAGCTTCCTTTTAGTCACTGCCTTCTACCCCCAGAGTAACCATTATGGTTTCTGATTAGTTTTGCCTGTTACTGTGCTTTACGTCAATAAACATATGTATGTAACTTTTTGTGAATGGTTTCTTTATCTCAGTGTTAGTGAATCATACTTGCTGCTGCATGTTTATGGAGTGCCTATTCTCATCGCTGTGTAATACTCCATTGTATGAATTTCTATATAATTTATCCACGCAAGTCTTGATGGGTACTTGGGTTGTTTCCAGCTTTTGGCTCTTAAAAATTGTGCTGTGAACATACATATACATGTTTTCAGTAAATGTATTTACACATTTCAGTTGGGTATATACTAGGTACATAGTTGGAATTGCAAGGTAACAGAGTAAGAGTGTGTTCAGCTTTAGTAGGTAGTGCCCGAGTTTTCCAACGTGGTGGTGCCAGCTTACACTCTGACCAGCAGTATGTAAGATTTCTCCACATCTTTACATATAGCTGGTATACTCTCTTCTTCAATTAGCAGTTCTGGCAGTGTATAGCATTAGTATGTTATGATTTTAATTTGCATTTTGGTAATGACTAATGAAGTCAAATTCCTGTTCTTTAAATTTTTGGATATCTTTTGGGAAGTGCTTTTATAAGTTTTTCAACATAAGATTTTAATGCATTTCAAAGAGTTCGGTTTTACCTTTTTTTCCCCACATGAAAATTTTACAGTGGGAAAATAATAGAATGTGGGTAATTTCACCTGATGAAAGTGTTTATGTCGTGTTACATGCTTGTAAGCATCTGGCATTGGCTAGAAATTATTATTGCTGGTGTGATTACTATTATATTGTCAAACTTATTTTAAGGTACCTCTTGATTAATCTCCCAAAATTGAATAATGAACAATGTAAATATAATATCCATAATTAAAGGCTAGGTAAAAAGCTCTGTAATGGACATTAAAAAAGTACAATAGACTGTCCCTTGTCCTGCGGGAGTCTACAGTTGACTCACTAGAAAGTATTTTGTATGAAGGTCTAAGATTATGCATCATGAAAAATGCGTGAGAGGGAAATAATCCATCATAATATCCATATCAACTGTTCTTAACAAATTAAAGTTTTTTATCTGCTTTTTCTAAATTTGCCACGGTTGCAGTTCATTTCTCCAATAAAGAAATCTATCCAAAAGGAGGAACTATTCCCAGGCACTTTGTTTGCTTTTTAATTTATCCCAGCATCTTTAGCAGGCGGTTGAAAATGTTGGTTCAGCCATAGAATTACAAGATCTAAATCCAACAAATAATTCATATCACTGCTGATGCAGTGCAAGTTACAAGTGTAAATCGAAATGCAGCCAGTTTAAAAGAACTAATTTAATTCACAGCTGTGTTCAATTTAAAACATTGACATTATTTAGGTCTTCATTTCTTTTTCTTTTTTTGGATGGGTGTGCTTCCTCTTGTGTAGCATACAAGTTTAAACTTTAAAAATATGAATTGGGTCATAGGCTCAGATTGTTTCCCCTTTTGAAATTATTTTCTAAATTTCTCAATTACGGGAGACCATATTAGGGCCGTGGATTTAAGATGTCATTTTCCTCTTCAGAAATAGATGTTTATTTTAAAAGTAAATTGAAAAATGTTAGTCCTAAAAAATTATGGAACTATGCCATGAAATGAGTTGGAAAAAAGAAAACATTGGTGATACCATTTTCACAAAGAAGAGCTTTATCTTAGATTTAAAATATGTTATGAAATAGTAATGTCACTCTTATTCCAGATTGTTTGTTCAGTTGCATGCATGGTATGTTCAGTAACATTTATTTTTTTCTTTTCCCTTTTGCAATTAGTTATCCTTTGTAAAATAGTAGATAATGCTGCTTTAAATTTTATTTCCATTTGGCTTATGTCCACTCTGAAATATCTTCGCTGATATACACTTCTTTGCAGTGTCATACACTGACTTACACTGACTTACACAAAAATAATGAACTGCTTTTCTTCTAACTATATGGCAGTAATCTTCACAGGTTCTACTAGGGTATGATCTTCTTATTTATGCACTTAATGTTACTACTTTATAACTCAAGACAGTGATTATTTTTTCTTTCTGTCTCTAAGATGTGTATTCTTACTGATTTTTGTACATTTGAATTTTTTATACTGTTTAATACCCAGTACCCAAAATATCTGATGTGTAACAAAAAAAGTGTTGCCTACTATCCTGATTGATTAGTAAATACTGTAGCAAGACATTAACACAGACTAAAGTAGTGGTTCTGCGAAGGTGCATGACTTTGCCTTTCATGAGACATTGGCAATATCTGGAGGTATTTTTGGTTGTTGTCACACCTGGGAGGAGGCATCAAATGATTGCGGAGGTCCGGGATGCTGCCAAATGACTTGCAACGCACAGGGCAGCCCCTAGAACAAAGAATTATCTGACCCAAAATGCTACTATGCCCATCTAAGCGAGAGGGACCATTGTATCAGTGGCACATAAAGATTGGATAAATGTATCATCCTTCTCAAACTTGAGATTCACTCAGTGATTTTAGGATTTCTGGGGACTGTTTTACATTAAAGACAAACATGGATTTATTTGTGGGTAGAATAATTTTAAAGTAAAATATGAGCTGTTATACACCTGTATACAGTTGTTTCAAGCACCTAGACACTCTCCTACTTTGGGGGTGTCAAAAAAGGACACTCCAAAATGGCTTTCGGTGGAGGATTGAAGGATGAAAAAGAATCAGATATGTGGGAAATAGAAAGAACAGCACTCCAGACAGTGGAACAGCATGTGTCAAGGTCTTGAGGCAGAAACGAGCAGTGCCTTTTTTGGGAACTAAAGGAGAAGTAATATGGTGGGAGCATAGTGAAGAGTAGTAACATGAGATCTGGTTGGAGAAGTAGGCAGGGGCCAGATCATGCAGCGCCCTGTAAGCCTTGGTAAAGGTGCAGAGTGGAAGTCAGCAGAGTGAGTTAGGCAAGGAAATGCCGTACTGCAGTTTATTTTTTTTTTTCAAGATGTTATTTATTTTGAGAGAAAGGAAGAGAGGGAGAAAGAGAGGGAGAGAAACATCAATGTGTGGTTGCCTCTCACACGGCCCACCGTGGGGACCTGGCCTGCAACCCAAGCAGATGCCTTGTCCCCAGCTGGGAATCGAACCAGCTACCCCTTGTTTCTCAGCCCAGCATTCAGTCCACTGAGCCACACCAGCCAGGGCAACTTACATTTTTTAAAAAACTTACTTTAATTACTGTGTGACACATGGTCAGAAAAGGTAAAATTTGAAAGCTGGCAGTCAGCTTTGGGAGACAATTGTAGTAGTCCAATTTGGGTATGGTAATGATGGAAATGAAGAAAAATAAATGAATTTAGGTGAAGTCAGAGCTATTATTTATACTTCTTATTTTCTGTTTTATAACAGTCATTGCTATATTAACATACTGATCATGTTTAACCTATAAAATATTTTCCAAAGTTTTCAGTGGCACCAATTTTTCATTTCCTTTTTAGAGAGAGAGGAAGTGGGTGAGAGAAGAAACATCAGTTTGCTGTTCCCCTTATTTATGAATTCATTGGTTGTTTCCCATATGTTCCCTGACCAGAAATCTAACCCGCAACCTTGACAAGTAGGACGATGCTCTAAACAGCTGAGCTGCCTGGCCAGGGCCCAATTTTTCATTTTCAACTTGAAGAAATCTCTTACTGTTTTACATAGAATTCTCTCTCTCTCCCCCTTTCTCCATCCCTCTCCCCCACTCTGTTCCCCTTTTTCTCCCTCCCTCCCTCCACCTCTCCTCCCCCCATATTTATAAAATATATATATGCATCTTTCATTACCTTGAAAAACTAATTCTGCTTTCTTTTTAAGAAAAAAGAAACTGTGTTCATCCCCTCTGAAAATGAGAAGATTTCTAAACAGCTTCACCTTTGTTACAATATTGTGAAAGATCATTATGTTCGAGTTTCTAATAATAATCAAACCATTTCTGGATGGGAGAATGGTGTGTGGAAAATGGAGTCCATATTCAGAAAAGTTGAGAAAGACTGGAACATGGTAACGTAATGCACGGAACTATTTATAACCTTTGTCATTGTTTAAACAGATCGAGATTGGCTTCATTTTCCAGTTGTGTGTAATGTGAAAACTGGTATGTCAGAATTACTTTCAGTATTCCTTAACCCTGTAAAAGAAATTCTATTCCCAACATTTAATCAAGAGCCCATAAGAAATTTTTGCGTTTATAACAAGGAAGTATCTGTTTTCACCAAGGAGGCTAAATTTAATACTTTCATGGGGAAAAATAATCAGGCATATGCCCAATCCATGAGACTAGTTTTTGCTTAAATATATGAAGTATATTGTTATTTAATTTTTTCACACATATGTATTGATTCCCTACCGAAGACAGTCTGTTAGGGAATATAGCATTCAGTTCAAAGTCCCAGGAGCTAACCATTTAATACACTTTCATTTCATCATAATGTGGATGATGCAGCAGTGATGTTGGTTATTAATACTCTGTCTTAAAGATGAGAGAAATGCAGTGCTGGCCCTGGCGTCGTTCCCATGTGCCAGTCTTCATGTTACATCTCTCATTATCTGTAACAAGTAAGAGGCTTTGCTGTTAACCTGCCCCACCCATCAGATACACACCAAAAATAAGCTATTCAAATGAATATTCAAGTGGCCTTGACAGACCTAACTATGCTAGTGATAGATTTTCATAGGAGTTAATGAACTTACTGAGAGCTTTTCAAGTTAACTTGCCAAATGTTTGAGTGGGAAGGGAGTTGTTCACTTAGAGACACTGGATAGATTAAAGAGTGAGTCACAGATGAACAAACCGCTAGTGTTACCAGCACCTACTACTCTGTGCTATTGCAGCAGGCATTAATTCAAGTGCAGAAGACATACAGAGACCTGAAGTCCCTGGTTTTTTCCCAATCAGAAGTTTTTGTTCTAAAACTTATCTGGGTGATCTTTTTGTATTAAACCAAAAACAGCTTATAGCATTTTTAAAATTGTGGATTTAGGAATTTTCTTCTTTAATTAAAGAAGGGCATAAAAAATAAAACTAGGTACAATTTAAATTTTTAAAATTTGAATCTATATCTGTACCTGTAATTGGTTTATAGTTGATGAGAGGCACTGAACAACTTCTGGAAGACTGTTCTTCCCCAAAGAACTTTTCTGAACAGAAAGCAGTATAGAATGGATATGTTTTTTTATCCAAGTACTAAACTAGCCCAGCATGCCATTCTTCCCAACTAGCAGTGTGAGTGGAGAGAGTAAAGGCAGAGGAAGCAGTGCTGTGTTGCGGAAGGCAGGGTGTGCTGAGAAACAGGTCTGCTGTGTGGTCCGTGTCCTCCCTGTGCCACTCATTCATTGGTCCATCAGCAAACGTTTACTGGGTGCCTCTTGTGCTAGGCATTGTTGTCAGCTACATGGATGGAAAGAGGAAGGTACAGTTCCTGCTCTCACAGTCTTAATGGGAAACCCAAGCATAAACAGCCAACTTAACTGTGATGAAGAGTGCTATAATAAGGATATCAACACATTGCTATGGAAACACCAAGGAGGGAGTAATTAGCTCTGGCTGTGGGAGTTGGGCAAAGCTCCACAGAGCAGGCAGCATTTGAGCTGGACGCTGAAGGATGAGTAGGTGTTCGTAAGGCAGGGGGAACAGCAGGGGGAGAGCATGGAGTACATGGCATGTTTTGAGATGTCTAAATAGGGCATTGTGACCAGAGGAGGTGTATTGTATGAGAAAGGTTTAAATAATGTAAATGAGATGCAAAGGCGATTAAATGAAAAACAGGCCCCTACTCAAGTCAAGTTATGCCTTTATAGGCTTTTACAAAGGACATCTTTTTTGAAGTTGAGTGGATCAGTTTTCGGTTACAATATTTAGTGCCAAGTGAAGAAAAATATTAGAATCTTAACTATATTGTAGAGACTAATAAGTCAGAAGTAATATGTTAACATTAAAACTTGAGTTTTCCCCCAAGTCAGTATTTTTAGTTTTGTACTATCATGTCCACAAGTTAGGGATTGTCTGACTCCACTAAATAGAAGCAGCCTGTTTCTGTTTATTTTTAATTTTGTTTTTATTTGCCAATTACAGTTGACATTTTGTATTTTTTATATTGGTTTCAGGTGTACAGCATAGTGTTTAGAGATTTGTATAATTTACGAAGTCATTGCCCCTAGTAAGTTTAGTACCCACTTGGCACCATACATAGTTAAAACAATATTATTCACTATATTCCCAATGCTGTACTTTTATATCCCTGTGACTATTTTGTAACTGCCAATTTGTGCTTAATACTTTCACGTTTACTATTACCACACCTTTCCTCCGTAATCTCCAGCCTGGAATCAAGGCAGTTCATATGCAGCCTGCTCTTGGGTATTTAGAACACATTCTCACTCTCTCAAAGAGGTAGCTCCCAGGAGCACAGGGACTTACTGCATTGTACTATTTAGCAAGTACATTCTTCAGTGATGTGTGGATTTGAAAGGAATATAAAAAGCATCAAGACCAATTTACTCTTTACGAGGCAAATGATAACACCTAAGTAAAGGTGGTGTTAATGGCTTCCCAACCAGTCTCCCTGCACATGTCCTGGTCCCTTCCAGTCTGGCCCTTGTGGCCTTCTCTGGCCTTGCCTTGTACCATGATGCCCCCACCCCACCCTGTATTGTGGTGCCCTGCCTTTCTGCCCTCTCCACAGAATCTCCTTACTTTCTTTTTAGTTAGATTAGCTTATTCCTGTCCTTAGAACTTGGCTGAAGCCTTACTCCTCCACTCCCAGCTAACTGAATTCGTTTTCCCCTTTATTGACTTACGCCATGTACCTCTCCTTCGTGACATTAATTCAAAAAATATGCCTAGGAAGAGATTATTTGTCTCTTGCCTACTAGATTATAAACATTCTCTGGGCAGAGACCTTGTGTTTTTCTATCCACTTTTGTGTTACTCTCAGTATCCATTTACCTGTCACAGTATCTGATGTATAAGAATGTTTAGTAAAGTTTGCTGAATGTAAGACTGAATGACCGAGTGTGTATGGCATGAAATCAGCACCACCCTATGGCTATGGAGACCACCATAGTAACCCTTGTCTTTATACAGACTGTGTCCCTTGGACATTCTTACATACTTTGCATTTTTTTAGCAATTTTATTAGTCTTTTTGTCACTAGAGTCATTTTAGCACTTTTTGATGTATGGCATTATGTCAGGAATTCATTCATTTATTCATTCAGCAAACATGCACATTGTCAGACATTGCACTTGGCATTTAGGATATAAGGTGAATTAAGAAGCAAACCTCAAGGTGAGCATAGGCTAGTGCAGGAGAAAGACACATGGACCAGCTATTTATTACATTAGTACGGTAAGTGCTGGGAGCATGTACTAAGGGAGAGAAGGCAGAAGGAAGAGCTATTGTCCCATCTTGAGGGAAGACCTTGCAGAAGAAGTAATATCTGAGTGGAGCAGATAGCACTCCACCCCTTTTGGAGGAACAGGCAGATGGAGAGTTTCTTGCTGTAAAAGCACAAGATGTGGAAGAGGAGGGTGTCGGGGGCATGAGAAATAGCATGTGCAAAATCACTGAGGAGAGAAACAGTGGCTCCGTCCAGGGAAGAGTGAGTCGTAGGAAATGTGGGCCAGAATAGTGGGAAATGAGAGTGGAGAGGTAAACAGTTGCCAGGTCCCAGGGACTTGGATAACCTGGCACTAATGTAATAGGAATCCATGAAAGTTCAAGCAAGGAGAGGAGGTGATCACACTAGTGGCCCAGGGGCTGCAGATGGAAAAAGTCAGAAGCATAGTATAGAAAGATTACAGTGGGAACTGATAGTGGTTCATGTTTGATTTCAGTCATAAAATGGAATAAGCAAAAATAAGATTTGTGAACAACACCAGTTCACCAGCATTAAATTAAAATCTCTTGAAATACAACTGCTCTGTTGGATATCTGTAGGAATGACTGACTACCGTGTCTGCTGTGCAATGAACTTAATTAGAGTTAATCCCAGCAGCCTAAACAGAAGAATAATTTTAGGAGCATACAAACTTCAAACAGTGCAGTACAAACCAAACCTCTGGGAATCCATAGCAACAGGCAGACCAGCCTGGCCTGCAGTAGTCAGAACATTTCAAAGTGGAGGTCCTCTGTAGAATGTGAACGTGAAAAAGCTGACATGCAGATTGTTCTGTCTTGAAAGTAGTGGGTACAGACACAACCCAAAGGACAAGTGTCATTTGTGTACATTGTGAGTGGTGTAACTTAAACCCTAGTCCACAGACACACGCTCTTGTTCCCACCCTCAGGTCGTGATATGTCTACATGGCCTTACAGATGCCAGAGAGGAACAGGGTTGGGTCACTGCGGGGTGCCATAGGGATTTCAGTCCGTAGGCGAAAAACTCCATGACTTCTGTTATATCACTGTTGCTAATGCAGGGGTAGCCACGCTCACCTCTTAGTAGTCCCATAAATTGCAAAGACATACATGTAGAACTATACACAGTAATGATGAATTTGAAAAGCCAACAGGCAAAAAGTTGTCTAACATCACAACCTTAGGAACACCTACCAGTTACAAAACTGCTTTTTTTGGGTTTCAACACAAAAATTGAATATTTGAGAGCTTAAAGTATATTACTCTCTGAAATAAACTAAAATTACTCACTCTATTGGCATTACATATGGGACCACATTTGGAAGTGTATGTAAATATTATTGTTTTGGTACATTTAAAATTACCAAACTAAGTATGCATATTCTTGGTAACTCCCTACCACCTCTAAAAATGCTGAATCAAAATAAATTGGTTAAAATGCTCCAGACAGAATATATTATGTGAAAAAGATTTTCATATAGTCACATGAATATGAATTTTCAATATAAATAGCGTTTGTTTTACCTCCATATGCCATTTCTTTAGCCTGAGACCTTTTATTTGCTCACAATATGTTTGATTGATTATTTAAGCATTTAAGAATTCAGTGATGAACCATCTTATGCTTTAACTATATAGTCTTAAAAACTGATGTCTCTAGGATTGAAGAAATGTAAGTCTCAGAACAAGTGATTCTCTAAGACAGGTTCAGCAACTCTCACAAACCTCCTCTGACAGTTAAAACCACACTTCTGGCCCAGGGCCACCTGGTATAATTCAGACAGTTTGAGGGGTAAGCTAGAAATTTGAAACTAACCTGACTTCAGCCTATCATATTTTATACCCACATTTTTGGGGGGACATTTGAAACTACTGCGCCCTGAAAATTCATTACGTAGAAGTATATACTGGGATAAGAATTTGAATGTATTCCTGTCGTAAGGTTACTTTCCCCTCGCCTTTTAGTTCCTTCCTTCCAGCCTCCCCCCCCCCACCCTCCACCCCTGCCCCCACCCTGCCCGCCTTTCTTCCTGCTGTTTGGCTTATCTTTTCCAGGTAATGTCCTTTACTAGCCACTTCTTTGAAGACATAGTTCAGCCGTTTGGGGTAGGTTAGACAAAGGACTCCCAGGGAGCACTGGTGCAGTCCTGAGCCGCAGGGTCTCCTTACAAACAGCTGTCAGAGGAGCAGGCATAGGAACATGTGAGCATTAGGGGACGTTCCAGTGACGTTGCCCTGACCCTCAGTGGCGCAGTTGACAGTTCCATACATTTAGGTTTGTCATCCAGAATGACCGTTGTTGGTTATACATACCTAGTCGAATGCATTCAAATCATTTTCCTTGGAGGGTGATTGTTTGGTCATTTTATAATCTCCAGCTCATTGATTTTTAAAAACTTTCAAATTATATTACCTGACATATTTAACCTGGAAGAAAAATATCCATAAGTTGCCAAATAGAATGGGCTATCAGTAGAATGCTAGCAGTGATTTTTTTTTCACTTGATACCTAAAGACATGGAGTAGGACATTCTCACACAGATGGGTTTTATATGGTACTTCTAACTGTTTGCCCCTGAGAAGCAGATTTGACATTTCTGAAAGAATACGTATGTGTGTACACATTTTTAATATTCAAATGCTACTTACTAAATCTGCCTATGAATTCAGATCTTGTGCCTCCAGAAAGCTATGATTTGGTTAAGATTATGCAAGTACGCCGAAAGTAAAATAGTTACAGTTGAATAAGGGAATATTGGCACTTCGAGGCGGGATAAAATCCCAGAGGACCGTGAAAGCCGAGAGTTTAGATTTAATACAAGAGCCAGGTGCTTGCTGTACATTCTAGAGCAGGCAAATGATATGAAGGAAGTGGGATTTTGAAAATATTAATTAGGCACTTGCAGAAAGATGAGCACAAACTCATGACTGTAGTGACAAGTGTGGTATAAGTGAAGAAAGGGCTTTCCCCCCAGGTTTATTTCAAACAAATGCACAGATTATTGTGGAACGTTTGGACACAAGGGATTAATAACTAAAGAGTCAGATCCTTAGGGGTTTGAACTTGAGTGAATGCAGTTACCTGTGAAAGACCTGGCTGGGGATGTCAGTTTTCACATCATTGTTTTGAAGAGTGTGGATAAAACTGAGAGGAGATAAGCTGGAAGCAGGCAATGAACTTGGATGCCTAATAGTATAGATTTAAAGTGGTGAGGAGCGTTGAGGATGAAGGAATGGGGAGTGTACTAGGTAGGAGGCAGTCATGAATATTGCCTTTTATTAAACCATTACTTAGCAGTGACTGCGGCTCTGTGCTTTGTTGTTATGGTGGGGTATTTTTTTCTTTCTTTCTCTTTTCCTTTTTTTTTTTGATTTAGAGGACATGGCCCCTCTTACCTAAGAAAGCTTATCTGAAAATGCAGACTTTGAAAAGAGAACACATTAAGAAATAACTGCATTTAAAAGGATTCTTCATTTTCAGCAGGATTCATCATCAAGTTTACATAGCTGGACTTATTAATTTAAAAAAGAATATGATTTACCAAATTTAGCTAGCATGCAGCTCTTTAGGGCTGTACTTGTTGGGCTATGTTCAAATAATATCTTTCTTCCACACAAAAGATACTATAGGGAAAACTGCTAATAAAAATTTTTAAATGTAAAAATTTTTTTCAGTGGGAAAAAATTAGGTTTTTAATAACCATTTGTACATAGTACCTGTGACAGTAGGACTTTGACTCTATGTGTTTTCTACACTATTTCATTATTTCCGATGGTTCCTTTTTTTTCCCCTCTTATTTTGTAGGTGTATTTAGCCCGAAAGGAAGGATCGTCTTCTGCTCGTATTTCCTGGAAGTGCGAGTGTGGGTCGGTTGGCCTGAAAGTGGAGAGCGTCTCCGTGAGAGCCAGCAGCCAGACCTTTGAGACGGGCGTGGTGCAGTGGACACTTCGGGGCAATGCCGCACGGGTGGAGCTGTCGGGCGGTAAGTGTCTGACCGGGGAGTTGGTCACGGCGTGGTTAGTCACGGCATGTGTGTTTACCATCTGAAGAGTGATTGTACGTACTTGAGATGTAGTTTTGAGTTTTTCTTACCCAACAATTATTCATCTTATTGCAGAAAAAAAAATGTAATTAAAGTCTCTATAACCTCATTCTAATAGAAAGGCTTATGGAAGAAGAAAAATCATTTTTTTTCCCAACGGACACATTTCTTCCACAAAGAATAATTGGTATTTATATTTATTTTTTAAGTGCTGACTTTTACCTACAAGTAAGGTATATAAAATGCATTCCGGAGCCATCCTTTTATGTTCTTTAAGTTTCCGAGAGCAAAATGTTATTTTTTCTTTTCCTCCCACAGATAAAATTCTTCGCTCCTATCATGATTTTTCTGGAGCCACTGAAGTTATTTTGGAAGCAGAATTGAGCAGAGGAAATGGTGTCGTTGCTTGGCAACATACTCAGCTGTTTAGACAAAGCTTAAATGACCATGAAGAAAATTGTTTGGAGATAATTATAAAATTCAGTGACCTTTGAGAACCTGAACATTATAGAAAAGCTGGCAATAATCAAGGATTTACCATGTTTTAAATTAGTCTGTTGGTTCAGTGCATGCTTAGTGGGCAATTTACTACCCTCTGCTAGCATATTTCTTTTGCTGGCTATCCATCATGTATCCCTCATGAAAATATATTCTTTGTACTATGGGCCATAATGAAACCTTGAGTTAAAAACTCCCTTCCATATGTGACTGTAACTCGGAGTAAAGTCTTACTGCCCCAGTATGAGGTTTTAATCTAAAAAGTGTAAGTAGAGTTTTAAAAGTAAAATGACATTATTCATGATTAAATGCTGTTCATGATTATGATAAAATCTTAAGCTAAAAATGGTAATGAGATTTTCTGCTCAGCCATTAATTTCTTCATAAGTTAATTCAGTTGGGTTTCCTAAGATTTTAAATAACTGAAGAGTAGCATCTCATAAGTTATAATGCATGAAAATTTTTATGATTGTAAATACATAGGCATTTAAGAAATAAAATCAGTTATTTTGCTTTATATCTTTTTAGTGGTTACTTTGCCTAAATAAAAATCTTTAATAAGTATACTAAACATTGAAAAGTGCTTGAATAGACAAGAATTATGAAAACATGTAACATTGTATAAATTCAAAAATACATTATAAATCCATTATATGTAGACATTCAGAAAATACTTTACTTCTGATTTTATTTTTGAGTATTTTTATCTACCTCATTGAATAAACTATCAATCTTGACTTTGAAACTGTGTTACTGTATTATACAGTATTTATATGCTATATCAAGAGTTGTTTGTATGTGTTCCATGTAACCTCTCCAGTTGAATTTAGTGAACATTTATTGTGTTTGTGTACAAAAGCATTGTGATAGTACCCTGAAGGTGGCGGTGGTAAAAAGATACAGTCCTTGTCCTCCACTCGCCTTTGTGATGTTCTGCAAAGTTCTCATCAACTCTTCCTACAAGAAAAAGGACATTCGCAGAGATTCTCACCCTGTGCGACTTAGTAAGACATGTATATGCGTTACAACACATGTACTAAGATCTGGGAACAGGTTTTATATTTGCTTTGTAACTATAGTTAGACTCGGCTGAGGATCACTTGCTTGCTAAAAAGTTTCATTTCAAAAAAATTACTTTGTTCTAATATGTTTTAATATGGAATTAAATTCCAAGTCTGGAATTCTTGGACTCTCAAATTAATCATAATATTGTTTAGTGGCAAAACACATAAAATTGGCGACTTGACTCATAACCTGTTTTTAGTTGTCTTGTATTAGCACATGAGTATTTTGATAATCAAGTGAACCAACCCTCTTAATCCTCATGAGAAAAACTGGAAGATCTACATGCAGTTTTATAAAGCTAATAATAAAAATGTGGGAACTCAACTAAATGTCCCTTATGTATGAAAAGGGTATCTTCCTGTGGCTTTAAGCAGAAAAGTGGTCAGAGTTAACATGTCCTACATCATGGAGTTGACCGTGAAGAGGAAAGGTGGGTGCACACTTTTCTTCCATGTGTTCCATGAGAATTTCAACCTCAACACATGTTAATAAATATTTTATTATCCAGGATAAACAGGATAATAAATATGGGTAAACTAAATGAGAGTAAACTGATAAGGCAAAAGTAACTTAGGAAAGAAGAGTCAGTGGTACAGACATACTCAATAACCTGGCACTGATATTAGGGTCACCTTTCATAGCAATCATGTAGTCCGCTGTGACAGAAGAGTGGATGTAAAGCCCTGAAGAGATAACCACACCGCACCGTGTTCCTTAAACATGCTGTGATTGATTGGCCTCCTACTGCCACTGCTCCTCGTTTAAAAGGAATTTATTTCTGCCTTGGTGTCAGGTCAGATCCCGTCAGGACAGATTTTACAGAGTCTGCTTTTTGTTGCAGTGTTTTGTTTTTTGTTTTGTTTTAGTAAGCCCTTTGCTGAAAATCACATTCTCAAAATGAACGAGAGACAGCATCTGACGCTTTGATCAGTTTTTACAAGGAGACAAAGTGCCTTGGATTAAGGGAGCGCTAGAGAACCTTTATCGTAGACTTTTGAGGCAGGAAAGGTTAGAGATCATTTCACCCACACTCCTCATTTTCGCTGAGGAAACTCAAACTTGGAGAAGTTATATGACCTGTCCGACAATGCAATGGATTAGTGAGATAGGCAAGATTCACTTATACATCTCAGTCTCTTGCCAAGTCGCAGGTTTATAAAATCATGGTCCTGTTGTGTGCGTTGCTGTTTCAATGGATGTTCCATGGATATAGATATTTCAATAGGAACATTCTATTTGGGGATGTATTGAAATTAATATTCGGCCCTGGGCTGGTGTGGTTCAGTGGATTGAGCACCGGCCTGCAAACCAAAGGGTTGCCTGTTCGATTCCCAGTCAGGGCACAAGCATGGGTTGCAGGAAAGATCAGGCACCCAGTAGGGGGCACAAGAGAGGCAACTGCACATTGATGTTTCTCTCCCTCCTACCCCTGTATCTAAAAATAAATATATTTTTTAAAATTTTTAAGAAATTGATATTAGAACCAATTACTTTTCTAACTATTGTTAAATTTTGGGGGGAACTATATTGTAATTTGATTATAGATTATATATGGATATTTTCATATTTAAAGGTATTTTTATTCCTCTACAACACAACAAATTGTGCTTTGATTTTATAGTCAGAATGAATACCCTCTTAGAAGCAAATAGCTCTGACCCAGGTGGTATTCCTTCCTTAAACACTCTTGGGGGAAGAAGAAGAGTAAACCAATACAAGTCTTGATTTGTTTCATTTCACTTATTATGTATTCCATCACATCTTTACATTGACCAAAAACACTGCTGTATTTCCGATAGATTTAGAAAGGATCTAAACTAATAATGGCCACCTCTTGAATGTCTAATAAGTGCCCATGACTTCAGCATCTCATTTGAGTATGAGTAAACAGTGGGTACCAATCCATTTTTCAGATGCGGAAACAGGCTGAGAGCCAGTATTTTACTGCCTGTAGGTCTGACAGCCATTCTCAATTCATTACACCACCACAGGGAAAAAGACTCAGGCGGACACCTTGCCTCTTAATTTTCTAAAGACTTGCTCTGAGATCAATGAAACTGGCAGCAACTAAATATCCATGCGGCAGGAATGGTTTCTGAAGAGCTGAATTATATAAAGTCTAAACAGTGAGGCCCATATTCCTTCCCAGAAGAAGGCATTTTGGGTTGTCAAAGTCTGTTACTCGCCGCTGACTTTAAATGTTTAAATTATTGCAGCCATTTTTGTTAAAAATTCAAACAGTGAAATACTATAAAGTAGAAGTGCTGCCACCATTCCCCACACCCCACCGTTTTCAGAACCAACCACGAAAATTGTTACATGTGTCTTTCTGGAGCTTTACTGTAGATTTTCACATTCAAACATACAGACACATAAAATCACTTTTCCTGGATTTGTTTTTTTCTATGTAAATGGACGTGTATGTTCTTGTTTTCTTAATGTGTCTTTCTTAGAAATTATGTTTAGGTCATAGGTCTGCCACATTCTTTTTAACTGTTGATAGCATTCCTTTACCCATCCCCTTGTTTACAGATGTTTAGGTTTTCCACCCTTTTTTCATTACAAACATTATGCAGTGAACATTCGTATACATATTTCGTTCCCAGAATATATGCCAAGATGTGTCCATTTAATTCTTACTGTCCACTGTCCAGTCACGTAAATGAGGTATACCAGTTTTTGTGCCACCAATAGTGTATCAGGGCACACTCTTTTTCTCGTTCTTGCCGAAACTAAACATTGCAGCTGTGGGAGCCGGTCTCCAAAGATCCTCACCTCCTGGCTTTCATGTGTTTGTGCTGTCCCTTCCACACTACGTTAGAGCTGGCCTGTGTGTCCAGTGGCATATGGTGAAAGGGACCGTGTGGAATTTCCGAGGTGTGGCCATAAAAGCCTTGCATTCTTTGCTTGCTCTGGGGGCTGTCGGTCTCCATGCCATGAGGCTTCTCAGGCAAGTCTGGAGAGGCATCGAGGGCTCCCTCCAACCTCCATCACTGCTTTGCCAGCTACAGAAACGGGTCCTACGAACCCAGCCAAGCCTTCAGTGACTCTTAGCTTCATGAGAAGGACAGCAAGTTGGAATTGCACGGCCAAACCACTACTGACTTCTTGATGCACAGAAACCATGAGACATAATAAATGATTTTTTAAAACACTTTTGGGGTGATTTGTTTATACAGCATTAGATTACTGTTATGGGCTAGAGGTCTGTGTACCCCCAGATTTTCTGTTGCATTGCTAACCCCCAATGTGATGCTATGAGGAGGTGGCGCCTTTGGGAGATAATTCGGCCCTGAAGGTGAAGCCCTCATGAATGGCGTTTGTGCCCCTAGAAGAAGATATACAGGAGAGCTCGCTTTTTCTGCTTCCCACCATGTAGGAATACACAAAGAGGGCCATCTATAAACCAGGAAAAGCGGGAGCGCCTTCACAACCCAACCTGATCTGACACTTCAGCTTTCTCAGCTGTGACAGATGTTCTAGCACCGCCCCCCATCTATGTAATTAGTTATCACAACCCTCAGTAAGACAATCGCTGAAACAGCAATTCTATTTTTGCCAATTTGACAGGTGAAATATATCTAGTATTAAGTTACATTTTCTTGATTACTTGTAAGATTAATAATTTTTCATACCTTCATTAGGCATGTTTGTTTCTTCAGGTTTTCTACACGTACATCCCTATTGGGTGTGTTCTTTGTTTTGAGCATTATTTTTAATATTTTTATTTTTTCATTGACTGCTTTCCTTAATATCAGCTGTATTTGTTTAATGTTTGTCATGTCCTTTCTATAAGATTAGTTAGTAATTAAAACTTTTCTAAAGGTCTCCTGTTAAAGAATTACCTCTTTTTTTTTTTTTGGATCACATCATATTGTTCATCTTGGTTTCCCTTTCATGTTGCTAGTTTTCCTCTGATGAGGTATATTTATGACTAAGGACTGAACTGTCGATGACAGGTAGCTGGCCTGGATTTTCTCACTCATTGTGTAGGGTGTTTCTTCAGCAGCTTCACCAGCGCCCTCCCTTGGCTGGGGAGACTGACTGCAGCACAAAGTAAGTGCTGGGCAGGGCAGGCTGACAGTGAGTCCCCCACAGGGCACCTGGGCGACAAGCAGGCAGGCATGCGGTAGACTTTCACACCCCACCCCTCCCTGCTCAGTATTCATTTAGGTTCATTTGTTTCAGGGGTTTTCTTTCTCTCTTTTTTTCTCTTAATGATCTAATTTTATTGTTTTCTTCGATTAAACATTTGCAAAATTTCGAAGTCAAAGCTAATGTGAAAGCACTGAAGTCTTCCTTCCATCCCTGCTCGCTCTCTCACTTCCCTGTTCCCCCACCCACCCCACCATCATTGCCAACCACACTGATCTGGTTGGTTTGGGTTCATTCTTTTCTTTTTGAAAACGTGAGCAAAACTTTTCTTCCACTTTGCATCGTGATAGAAACTATACTGTCTCACTGTTTTGCACCTTGCTTTTTTTTTTACTTAACGTATCATGGAGCTCACCCTGTATCAGTATTTTAAGAGCTTCCTCATTGAGTGCATGATAGTTCATATTTGGGGCTATCTCCAGTCTTTTTCAAACAACAATTTAAAATTATATTAGCAGATTTTACAAAATCTGGATTTCAGTTGACGTTGAAAAATTGGGTGATGTGACAACACTGTGTTCATAA